GCAGACGAAAGTGGTAAGTTGAATGCATGGTGAGAACCCTCGAGATCCATCTGTTATATTGAAGAATTGAAAAATTAGATAGTGCTGCACAGTTGCCAGGTTTTGCTAGCGCTATCAAAGATACACTCATAGATTTCAACCAGGGGGGGACAGCAGTTCATGTGGAAAACCGTGGATACACATTCAAAGGTCATCTGTTATTGAAACGCATGAGCATTCGTCAATTCCTTTTTGGTGGAAGGATCAAAACATCTGAGTGTATTCAATGATCTGCTGTAATTTCGGTATCTCGGGGCTAGACAGACGACTTCATTGAAGTTCATGAAGTGAGTACAACTCGGAGAATTAGTTCTTACAATGTGGTTGTAAGTCGCAAGGATCCACGTGGACTGAGTAAGAAACTTTTCCATCTTCAGTGAGTTCTCACATATCAGTCACATTCGATAGATTGCACAGTGTAACTATTGATTTCTGGTGGCTGGATGTATACTATAACGTTGCGCCCAAAATCATACAGTGGGTAAGTCTCCTAGAATTCTCCTCGAAGCCCGCAGCGAAAGGCTTCTTCCATGGCTCAAGTTACGTTTGATAACAGTTGTGGAAGTGGAGAATAAAAGGTGGCTTCTTAGAAAGTCCGTTCAGGGTAATAAATATAGTGAGCATTAGAAACGGTCCGTTGAGAAGTTTCTGTCTGTGTGCATTGTTCATGCAAAGCTTCTTTCCTACATATTCGCACTCTTAGATACAACTTGTTCGGATACTCTACCGAGCTTTCGAGAAGCCGTCTTAAGCTTCAGGATTAAGTTTGTATAAAGGCGTATGTTGTCTGTCGTTAGTTCCCGTTTGCTTGAGCCTCACTTTGTATTATCACTTCCTAAAATGAATTAAGCTTTAAGACCCTCACAAGATCCTGCTCGAGGAACAGGAAATACCGTACGATGATCCTCAAATTCGGCACACAAATTCAGTACTCTCACTGTTCACGTATCTACAGCAAAGTTGTAATAAATGGAGAAAAATAATCACGGATTTCTAGGTTATCTGTGCACCTTGAATAGACATGGATTTAAATTAAGGATTTTGATAGAGCTGACGACGCTTTTCACTACAAGTTCGTAAGTCCCACCCCGCAAACAGAAGGAGATTTAATGGAGGGGGGCCTGTGATCACAACCAACTAAGACAATCGATGCACTTCGATAAAACTACCCAGGGACATGCCAGAACTTCTTCTCATCCTATTCAGGAATGCCGAGTACTGTATACCTATCGCACAGAATATATCGTTCATGTTAGGCGTCGGTAATGCGGCAGGTACGGTACTTTTCAGGGTAGAGGAATTTGTCCGAAAACTAATGGATCATTGGGCGAACCACTAAGTGAGCCCATTCAAGTAGTCCGTTCGCGCGTAAGTATTGTAATAGCTCATGGTGTGTCGCCATCTTCAACTTCTCGGGACCGTAAGAGAATGAGAATGCTAATAATGTAGCTTTAGAGCGCTTGAGGAAGGAGATCAGTATCATTGTGCTGTGCGAATGAGCGTGAATGAAGGTGAATAGGTCAAGTATGTTAGGGCAGAACGAAGTATCTCCAGAAACTACGGAGTACCGGTACCGGGGCCACAAGATTGATAGTACTTCATTGTGTACATGCAAGCTATGGTGGGATCGTTGTATCCACAGTAGATCGATCAGAACCATACTTCCTAATAGTGGAGTACCACAGATACAACTCGCCGAAGGTTCTATAGAAGTAACCCCCACCGCCCTGAACATTGCACTCTCGACAGAATGAAAAAAGAAAGAGGCAGCAATCATAGAAGCCAGGATACTATCATCCAAAATCTTACTTCTTCCGAAACTCTATGCTATTTCGTATTTCAAATTTCGCTAGAAATTGCTACAAATTCACAGGATACTGTGATTGTTACTTCCGTTATGAGTACAATGTTACGTTGACAATGGAAAATCGGAACCAAATAAACTAAGAAGTTTCCGAGATTCTCGTCCCCCCAAAGTAAAGATGAACGGCACAAAATTGCTGTAAATTACCTGAACCTTCACATGGATACAGGAACTTCAGATAAGATCTCGCCCATGTGAGCCAATCGTAATGATAAGGTGGTTCGGTTTGAATCCGAGATGAGGGCTTTCAATTCGTGAGCTTGTCCTTACAATCCTTGCGCATATAAGCATTGCAACCTCATGATTCAGATAGAAATAGTTAAATAACTCGGAGGAGCTGTCAGCTCATAACTTGTTGAGTCATAATGTAATTCTTACAACAACTTTTGTCCAAAGATAGAGTAATAGATATGAGTCTAGGGATACTTTAGCACATCCCTCAGCCTTGGCCCGTCATCTTGGATACTGACAGCCGCGAAGCTATGTAGTATCGTGCTTATAAACATGTATAAAAACAGACCTTGGAATCAAATCATCGCCGTTTCCCGTGTCAATGTTGCCTTGGTAAAGATCGAATCACGTAGATAACATGGAAAAGTCAAAATAGGTTGTCTGACGAATCGATATTCCCTAGGTGCAAATGAAGCAAGGTCATCTCTTGTTGCCCCTGTATTAGTAAACGTAATCCTGAGAGCCAAGATGTGATGAAGATTTTGTCCCCATGATAGCGATAGTATAAACGTTGTCTCGTTGCCCCTGAATGGGGCATATGATACGCGATGAAGAAGCTTTTTTCACTCTACTACTCGCTTGATCTTCAAATCAGACGGGTAAATTGTTTCCGGCGAGCAAACAGTAAAAAAGATCACAAAAGAAATTCGATCATGGAAAAAGCCGGTATGCATTAGATCCACATACATGATAAAATTTTGGGAGGTATTTCCGAGAAAACTAAGAGATAACTAGTATGCCAAGCTCCGTGTTAGAGTCTCCGCCGAACTTAGCTCATATCTCATATCTTAGTTGAATGTTTTGCTCAAAGAAGCAATAAGGATATGTGAGTTTGGCTCATTTCCTGTTTCGAGCGAAAGAATATTAGCATCTTTAGTAAGTAGCATGTTCAAGAATCAAATGTAACATAACGTTGAAAGAGCTCATAGGACAAACAAACAAACAATGCAATTGAGGATATGCTTCTAATTACCTACACCACTTTTGCTTGCATCACCCATAACCGGATGCTGAACAAAGAACCCAAGATGCATAACAAGATAGCTGATGAGGGACCAAATGATGCCCACCCACAAATTGTTTTCATATCACAATTGTGTCAATGATGCAGCAACCCCTCCTTGGTAAGTCGCAGCGACCATATGGCTTTTGCCTATGCTTTCGGCGGATGTCTCCTTCTTTTTCACAATCTTTCGTAGGTATGTCGATGGAGAAGGACCTCGCCTTGTCATACTTTGAGCCTCGGAACAGTAAGTTGAATCCACCAAACTCCACGCTAAACAAACAAGCAATAACCAATTTCCCAAGCCTTCACAGGTAGTCCTTCTTCTTCGACGTTCTCGTAAACTGGTTCATCCTCCATTCAACATCACCATCCTTATTCTCCAACGTTCCTCCTCTAATCTCGAAGCATCTCATCGTCATTCGAGGCCCAACTTCTGCGAGTTCCACACTTTGGTATCCCGTCTTGACGAAGACGTGGTGTCGAACTTCTATACTATCCTCAATATTCTTGAAGGTCACAACCCTACTTCCAATTTTCGTCTTATTCGTAATGGCTTCTCTTGGCGGAAATATATGCTTCAAAATCTTGACAATTCGAAGACCTAGTTTTGATGTGAAATCTTCGAAGATTAGATGAGGATAAGACTCGCTGACCGTACCACGGGAGCTATTTGGGATATCATGGCGCAAAACAACATTGTGTAGAGAAAAAGAGATCGTAGGTCCATGCGGAAAGTGGGATAAGGTCAAGGCTGTTGGTGTACCACGATGTTCATGAAGGAGGATAATATCGGAAAGTCCAGATGCTTGGGCAGATGTAATCAAACTTGGCAAAATGAGATTTCCTCGATTTAATCGGATTGAGGTTGGTATCAACAATCTAATCTCCTTTGCAAAGGCTGAAAGTCTCGATGAAGGATCTCTTGAAGTTGTAACAAGTACTCGAGGATCAACGATTCCGGAAAGTTGAGCATATTCATCATCCAAATTAAGTTCCTCATTTGCTGTCAAATCTGGTCGTGATTCATCATATTTATAATCTCCTCGTAGTTTTTTGTCGTTCGCAATCGATGGATCCAAAGGTTTGCCTGATGCCAAAGAAGCTCGAAGTTTTGCGCGCTTTTCACTGATCTCAGCATCTCGAAGTGTTAAAGCTCTTCTATAGAGGTAATCTCGTCGTTGTCGGGCTTGTTTGCGCTATAGAATCTGTATTAGCCAATGTAATAATCCCCCTAAAATAATTGAAAATGTATATGATCAAAGGGATAGGGATAAATATATCTTACAATCATCTTAACAATTATTCAAAAAATCAAGAGGGATTGTGGTTTTGTTGATCAATAAGAAGCTTCAATGTGGTCAAGCAAGAAAAAAAGTTTCTATCACAAACCTTTACTCGTACAGTACAACACTTATCGGCATTGGCATCGGCAAACCTTTATCGACCACAATACGCTAAGCACCTAATCATGGTATCTCTTAAATGTGAAATCCCACAATCAAAAAAGCAATTGCTCACCTCTTCAATACTTCACTAACTACTAGGTTACCTACCAATACCGAGGGAAGAGATATTTGTCTCTCAAAAGATAAGTTGCGAATTACAGTCAAGGTTTCAATAATGACTTGAAAGTCTTACCCAGTTTTCAACGAATACCCATCAATAGCCTCTCATCTTTGCGCCGCCCCGCCACGAAGGGGCTTACTTTTAAACATAAGAGATTTGTCCAACTTACCCGTAAGTATGGGTAGCATTCCTTAAGTCTGGTGGAATCTTTGTTTGATATTGATATTTCACTATTTTGTAGGAGCTCGTTCTAACCCTTTGCAAATTTGTGTAGTATCTAGACATCCCGTCATCATGGAAAGCGCTTTCGCCCATGCAGGAAACCACTTAATATCCGATTCTGCTGCTGCAATCAATGCGGGTGCAGATGATCTCTCAGATATTGATCCGGATGAAAGCTTGTTATATGGACAATATGAAGGTCATGTCAGTTTGGGATCCAGCAGACGAAGGAACGATGATGATGATGACAACGAGACCGAAACATTTGACGACGATGATAATGAGAGTCTTGCAAGTGTTCCAGTCGATGGTTTGAAAATTACTGGACTTAGAGGTCCTGAGGATGAAAAGGAACTACCAGCACACGCATGCGCGTAAGTTGAACTATCAACACAACTTGGATTGGCCTGAGCTGGACTAATTTAATGCGTAGATATTGTGGAATCCACTCTCCAAGCTGTGTTGTAAAGTGCCTGGGATGCAACAAATGGTTCTGCAGTGCCCGGGGAAATGCTACATCTTCACATATCGTCAATCATCTTGTTCGCGCAAGACACAAGGAAGTTCAATTACACCCAATGTCAACCCTCGGGGATACTGTGCTCGAATGCTACAACTGTGGTATAAAAAACGTATTCTTACTCGGCTTCATTCCTGCGAAATCTGATACCGTCGTGGTTCTTCTATGCCGTCAACCCTGCGCCTCTGCTCCATCTTCGAAGGATATGAGTTGGGATGTGTCCAAATGGCAACCATTAATCGAGGATCGATCCTTTCTGACTTGGCTCGTCTCTCTTCCTACAGATGCAGAACAACTTCGCGCCCGACATCTCAACCCACCAATGATTGCGAAGTTGGAGGAGATGTGGAAGGACAATATCAACGCTACCCTGTCTGATCTGGAAAAAGCTGCTGGAATTGATGATGACCCGGCCCCTGTCCTTCTCAAATACGACGATGCCTACCAATATCAGAATGTCTTTGGACCTTTAGTAAAAATTGAGGCAGACTACGACCGTAAGCTCAAGGAAGCCCAATCTGAGGATGGTTTGATTATTCGTTGGGATTATGGTTTGAATAACAAACATCTGGCAAGCTTCATTCTTCCCAAGATTGAGCTTGGTGATGTAAAGTTAGCTGTAGGTGATGAGATGCGACTCAAGTACAAGGGCGAACTACGACCTCCTTGGGAGGGTGTCGGATATGTGGTTAAAATTCCAAACAATCAATCTGATGAAGTCACCATTGAACTCCGAAAGGTCGGCAACGATAAATCGGTACCCACGGAATGCACACACAACTTTTCGGCAGATTATGTATGGAAGGCAACATCTTACGACCGCATGCAATTCGCCATGAAGACTTTTGCTGTGGACGAAATGAGTGTATCGGGATACATTTTCCACAAACTTCTTGGTCACGAGGTAGCTGCGGCTCCAATGAAAATTCAAATGCCCAAGAAGTTTAGTGTTCCTGGTCTGCCAGAGTTAAACAGCAGTCAAATCAATGCCGTCAAGAGTGTATTACAAAAACCTCTGAGTCTTATTCAAGGACCTCCAGGAACTGGAAAGACGGTCACGTCCGCTACAGTCATTTATCATTTGGCCAAGGTCAATGATGGTCAAGTCCTTGTATGTGCTCCTTCTAATGTTGCGGTCGATCAACTATGTGAGCGTATACATCGAACTCAACTCAAAGTTGTTCGTCTTACAGCCAAGTCCCGTGAGGATATCGAATCATCTGTTGGATTTCTCTCTTTGCATGAGCAGGTCCGCATGAATGACAGCAATCATGAGTTGGCCAAACTTACTCAACTGAAGAGCGAATTGGGCGAATTGTCAAGTCAAGATGAGAAGAAGTTCAAGGCATTGACAAGAGCTGCTGAACGTGAGATTTTGAGTAATGCTGATGTCATTTGCTGTACTTGTGTTGGAGCTGGAGACCCAAGGCTTGCCAAAATGAAATTCAGGACCGTCCTTATTGATGAATCTACTCAATCCGCAGAACCGGAATGTATGATTCCACTTGTCCTAGGATGCAAACAAGTCGTTTTGGTTGGAGATCACGAACAATTGGGCCCTGTCATCATGAACAAGAAAGCTGCAAAGGCAGGTCTGAACCAGTCACTCTTCGAACGTTTAGTCCAGCTTAAACTCAACCCCATTCGACTCAATGTGCAGTATCGTATGCACCCATGTCTCTCTGAATTTCCATCCAATATGTTCTACAATGGTACTCTACAGAATGGTGTCACAATGCAACAACGACTTCGTCGTGATGTTGATTTCCCTTGGCCTGTAGCCGATACACCTATGATGTTTTGGTCCAATCTTGGCAATGAGGAAATTTCTGCTTCTGGTACTTCTTATCTTAACAGAACTGAAGCCTCAAATGTTGAGAAGATTGTCACCCGATTCTTCAAAGCTGGAGTACAACCTGGAGATATTGGTGTTATCACTCCATATGAAGGTCAGCGCAGTTATGTTGTAACCTCTATGCAGAACACAGGTTCTTTCAAGAAAGAGCACTACAAGGAGGTTGAAGTTGCTTCCGTTGATGCCTTCCAAGGACGAGAGAAAGATTTCATCATACTTTCTTGTGTTAGATCTAATGATCATCAAGGTATTGGTTTCTTGAGCGATCCTAGGCGACTCAATGTGGCCTTGACACGTGCAAAGTATGGTCTCGTCATTGTTGGCAACCCAAAGGTTTTGTCCAAGCATCCTCTCTGGCATCACTTGTTGCAACATTTCAAGGATCGTAGCTGTTTCGTTGAAGGCCCACTTTCAAACTTACAACCCTCACTTCTACAATTTAGTCGTCCAAAGACAACTTACCGTGGCCCACAACGTTATCAAATGGGAATGCCCCACAACGGTCGGAATGGCAACAACAAAGCTCCTCACCACCAGGATTTCACTGAGACAGGTTCCATGATGAGCTCTGCTTTGGATGATGTTTCTTCAGTTCACTCATCACATCTTGGTGGGGTGGGTGTCGGATCTGCCTATCCTGCAGGCTTTGGCAACTTTCCTCTCACTGGCCTTGATAATTGGCCTGGTCTTGATTCACGAGGACCACGTGTCAATGGTCAAAAGGGGCGTGGCCGTGGAGCTGAGAGCGTTGCTGGAGAATCTGTTGCCGCTAGTGAGTTCACTGATGTCACCAGCAGTAGTGTCACAGATGGCAGAGGCATTGGTCAAGGTGGCGTTAGTCTCGGTGCCAGCGTTCACGGAGGACAGAAGCAAACTAGTTTGAGTCAATCTGACCGCTTGAAGCGATATGTCGAGTCAGGTGGTCGTATTGCTGACTATAAAACTGGTGATGCTGGTAGTGTCTTTGGCACGAGCTCTTTATTGAGTGGTCGTCGATTCGATGATGACGAGAAGAGTGTTTCTACTGCATTTGCAAGCCAAATGGGAGGGATTTATGACTGATTATACGTTGATAAGGTACATTCATCATAGGACATCATAATCATGATATACTAAGGATATTCCTTCCGGATCAACAGATAGCTCTTCGCTGTTCTGTGAGGTCAGCAACCAATACCGAATTTCATCGATCTATCCTTCATCGAAAATCGACCTTCCAAGTTCCGTACCTACTATTATAGGGCGTAACCATCTCCACATATATCATATGTGAGGAGATTTTCACTGCAAGTGTGCAATGCCTACCAAGCAAGCTGCTGAAGTATCGAAGGAAAGAAGATGAGAGTGGTGCCAAATTAAGATTGTTTATGGGCCGTAGGGGGATTGCTTTATAGGGGTAGAGGGTATTTTGACTGTGGTGGAAGTGGTTTTGCCAGACGAGAGAAAGAAAAGTTTTGGTGGTGAGGTTCATGATCTTACTCTATATGTTGTATTGTGGCTTTAATTTCTTCTGAAGTTGATGCTTCATGGAGAGAATTGTTACGGCATTAGCTTTAGTTAATGACCAAGCATGTAAGCTAGATAGATACTGGCGCATTTACAGTACCTTATGAATTCAAACCCCTTGCTACCAACCCTTACCACGAAAAATTGAAGTGCGTGATAAATGCACACTGTCTTGGCCACCTTCACCCATACGTTCTACATGATACCCCTTGTACTTTACACGTTAGATGAAATATCCGAGTGAACAAATATCAATAATCACACATCTCTAGCCAGTCCTTATGTCGGACCATTTCACTAGTCGTGGAAGCCGTGTAAAACGAATGGAGTGGATCACTGGTTCCTTTTGAAAATGATTGCTTACCTTTCCAACTCGCTTCTATGGATGGCTAGTTTTCTATTCTTCGTTAAATTTTCCGTTTTCATTCTTTGGAAGAGCGAGTGGTAAGGAAATGAGAAGCGAGAAGCGAAAAGCGAGAAGCGAGAAGGTAGGGGTAGGGGGAGGGGGAGTAGTGTGGTTTGGGGGTCAAACAGGAAAGTGAAGATATCATGTTCGTGATGACAATACATTGATGGAGGACCACTTCAGCGAGACTAGATATGGTTGGGCGGGGATGTGTGTGTCAATTGATGGTTAGCCCTCCAGGACGCTTTTTAATATTTACGGCCTCACCAACCCACAACTTCCCCCACCCATGTTCCTTCGGATTCTTCTCTACGTGCCACACATAAATCGGAGAGGCTGTGTTCGTTATTGTTCATCCCCCGTTACTGGCAATTATCTCCTTCAAATCTGTCTAACCAGATGTACAAACATTCTTATGGATCTTTCGAGATTTGCTGGAGGAATCAGATCAGGGGTAGTTTACTAAAATGGACTTATAGAGGTACCAACAAGCACCATCAGCACTGCTGCATGATCAGCCGTCGCTGCCAGAATATCTCCACCAGCTAGTCCCATTCTGTGGTTGCAAACTCCAGCGAAATAAGCATCATGGCAACAGATAACATAAAAATACTGATATTGAGATCGCAATAAAGGACTAGAAACATTACCAACACAATCACAACAATTCTATAAACATGCGGAAAACCTCTTTCTCCTTTCGTGAGAAAACCAAATTTTCCGATTCATTTCGCGAAATTCAAGATCCTCAGAAATATTGAACACATCTTGACAGATTGACAAGCATCCTACCGTATTTCTTCAAATCCTACCTCGACCGCCAAACGACTCCGGACCTGGTGAAATATTAAGTCCGTGAATCCGATACAAGTCCCTTGCGGCCGGACAACTTGGGAAGAGGCCTGGTCTGATGAATCTAAGCACAAGGTCTTGTGATCACGAATGGCATTGGATGGATATCGGTGAGCTAGCAAGGCCAACAAATATCCCGTCAGCCTTCATAGATACCAGATATGCAAAGTTTCATCCATTTTCCAACCTAAATCTCCCAGCTCACTTTCGACTTTCGGAAACTTGAGAATTCCGTTTCATAAGCAGCTGCTTTCGTAGTAAGAGTCGTGAGAACTTTCATCGAGTCTACATCTTATACTGTATCTACTGCAAAGATTCCAGTCTCGTCGGCTACATAAATATATGTTACATCTCATCTCATATGAGCAGTGCTGCTATTTTATATGAGTTGAATGGTCAACTGTTGATACAAGTAAGTGGTACTGTATAGTATCAATACTGAGTAGTTATTGAAAGACACATTTCAAAGATAATTGCAAGAAATAACCACCTGGTGCACAGCTCAGATAATTTCAATAATACAATAATCTCAGGATCCACATTTCAAGTTCCTCACCTAATGAACACTACTAAATATAGCCTCCAATCGAAATATTCAACCTTCTCGAAACACAACTCAGCATATCATCCTTCTCTCCTGCTTCTCATAGCCTCCTCCCTCTACGATCCGCTTCTCATTATAGCCTCGTGCGACTGATATACAGACATGCTATGTACACTTCGTCAAAAATGTAAGGTTATAATAGATGCAAATCATATCAAAACTTATGCCAACGCTTTTTGGAGAATTTTGGAGAGCTTTATAAACTGTTACCTGTCACCGATATAGAGAGGCATTTTCTCATAAGTTGGGTCTGACACACGCACTACCTTCACCTCGAATTGATCTACCCCTTTTTCAAAAAGTTGGACCATCATATATCTTTAAATAAAACTCACTGGGAGCCATCATTTAGATCAACTAATGTAAAAATAACTTCTGCAAACACAATAAATAGTACTTGGCACTAAACACATCCTCATGTATGTATACAAAAGCTCGCTCGCTATCCCAAGCATTCTAGAGACCGTATGAATCCCCTTGATAAACCAATATCTTACCCACGACGAACAAAATCCATAATAGCCATATTTCGTTCGACGTTGGGGGTGCAGAATCCTGGGGTCTGTGGCTCGAGTATCTCTTGCAGGCGTTGTGAAAACTTGTGGATGAGTTGAGTGGTGTTGGGGATGTCGCGGATGATGAGGTATAGATATAAGTGTAAAGCGATTTTCAATGGAAGAATTGACGTGTTGGAAACATTGAAATCTGGTTCGTTCAAAAGGAGAAGCTCATACTCGATTTTGGAGATGAGATTACTGAGAGAGACGGTCGATGAATTCGATATGCTTAGAATCTAATTCTATGAGATAGGATTCGTGGATTTTGGATGATCTCCAATATTGGCGATCCAATATCGAAGATTACCGTAGATTCAAGACCCTTGGGTAGCTTGGGAGAATTGAGTCTCGGTGGACTCAAAGACAAACGGGAGAAAGCAGGTTTCTGGTCCCAAACATTCGCATGACAAAAGTCTGACCTGTAACCTTCTTAGCCAAACCTCTCAATTGGAGTCAATACTAGAACAATAAGTCACATATCATGTTACTATTCTCTGATGTGCCCCGCTCAGTGTCTCTTACCACCCCGTAACTCGATTATCTTGTTTAACCCCTGCATATAAATATTCGCTACATCATGTCTACCGTCTAGATTCTTAAAACGGTCAACCAAAACCATCATGTGCTGGAACACGATCCATAATATCTCTCTACTATCAAGCAAAACCAGAGCGGCCACGGTCAAATCATTCAATTTTCGATGAGTATCCCCTAGCCTCTTATTTATGATGCTTAATGCTTCACCTCCATGGTGTAAACATTCGGGGGTATCTCGTATCCCACGTTTCAAATCATGGTTTAATACGACGAGATAGAAAATTGAATGAAGCATGGCTATGTCTGCGAAAGCTTTAGACCAGAATGTGCCTTATGCGTCGATCGCGATGGAGTTTGTGTTGTACATTTTGTTGTTGTCTGAAATGACGATCAACATTTGATGATTGGAGGTCTCATGATGGACAGATGTAGCCAAGGGGAACAAGCTCTGTACAAACAAGCATGATCTATATATTTCACCACTGATATCACCTGAAACGCGGCTAGAACAAGCGTTGTGGAAGAAATACGCAGTTACTCACAGTGAACGAGTAATCGCTCGCTTCTTGCTTCCAGCACAATTGGCAGCGAGTTGAAGGGATTCAAACGACTACCGCTGAGCACCGAGACTGGACTTTGCGCACCAAATGCCACTTGGCTTATTCGACAGTTCATTGCCGTCACAATATTTTTCGTCTTTCTCATCACTGCAGCATCACCATCCCTCACTCTCTGTCTCATCGAAAGCCCTTGGCCACTCATCTGACTCTTCAACAAGAACTTGGTCCTTGCCTTGCGCGTCTAAGACTACAGTTTGAATCTCCCCTTATACTGAGCCGGTTGTTTGGGTCTCGTCAGTACAGTCCCCACGACAAGAGTATCCGAATTCTGCTTGTTATGCTTCCTCAAATTGTCGCACATTGCCTGGATCCTCACTTTCGTAGACGCTTCATTACGATCTTGGTCGGAAACTTGGGCTGTGAATGTGAAGAACCCGAAGTTGGAAGGTTCTTCTTGGCCGTCATTTTTGATCGTCGTTATTAAGCTCTGTTTGCCCGCCATGCCATTACAAATATTTCAAGGAACGATATAAAAAGATTGTTGAGCCAAACGATCCCTTTTTCGAAATATCGAAGCTTCCGTTCATGAATCTACGTAACAAGTCACTCGTCCAAAACTAATTCTCAAATATCTTTCTCTCATCTTTCACCTCTTCATTCTTTGCGATTCGCGGGTGGTTGTTAATGTGACATGATTACTCATTGTGCATATTACATGAGTGAGTACTCGTACATCTCGGTTGCAACCTGCCATTCAATTTTTCCGTCGAGCCACTGTGCTTTATTCGTTGTCGCCCACGTTTAAATATCATCGTATAATACTACTCGAGTATTGGCGAGCGGTAGAACTCATTTCATGCAGGTACGATCCGTGGCCCAAATAGATGATAGGCAGGAAACGCGCATGGAAATTTCATGGTGATAATCTGGTAGCCGTGAGAATTGAAGTGTGCGAGACTGGTACCTCCCTTTGCTTGAGCTTCGTTGAATCCGACCATACCTGTGAAGGTTTTTCAAAAGATAAAACATCACTACCACCTTGTAGTAATGTCTCTTCAACAGGATGTACAAAGAAGATAGTTTACCAATATTCATACCAACGTTTCGCTTGAAACCATGGGGTGTCAAGCCCACAGACGGGAACTCTCAACTGTTCAGATAACTTAGGAATATATGAAGACCAACGACCTTCTCAGATACTAATATTTCTTCAAGCCATCAACGTAGACACTTCTACTAGGCTACCTTGTGTGCACAGTTTCAACATCACAGATAATTTTTGACATTAAAACCAAGATTTCATGATCTACCTTGCGCCATAAAGATCCCATGTCCTCCAAATACTCGCAATGATATTCCCTAATCCGAAACGCCACAAGTATGCACACCCATTCGACACAACGGCGTTCTTAATCGTCATCCATCGGCATCTCATCATCAATATATCTGACCAAAGTGATTCTCATCTCAGTCGAATCATGACCCCTGAGAATATCACTAATGAAGTGAGCCTCGACTTGCATTTGCACCATCTCCAGTGTGCCCCTCAATATCCCACAGAAGATGTTCGAATACCACAGCTCATCTTGCGCTCTCCCATCATCTGGTAATTCCACAAAATCGGCCAATGGGTTTTCTTCGAATATCAGGGAGAATTGCTTATTATCACTCGTCCAATTCGATACTGCTGGTGTAATGTTCAAGAATATCTTAAACCCAACCTATCATCTCCCATCAGCATTATACTCCGCAGAATGACCATCTGAGTCGTACCTTAGCAACCATCTCCGCAGTCTCCCTAAAGTTCGAACATCGTCTCATGGTATTTGATTTCGCAAGATAGTCCTCGATTAATCGTAGCCCGATATTATATCCCATCTTATCAAGTTGTTTGTTGACTTCCACATAATCACTTTCATAATCTTTACAAAGCTGTGCAACGATAGTTCCGTAGGTGAGAGTAACGAGTTCGGCATTGACTTTATCTACACGACTTCTGGTTGCTGATTAGCCATCATAAGATATGGCGAGTGTTTTCTGTGTTTGGGTGTACTTACTTCCAGACCCTGAGTTGTGCATTAGTATATATTGACTTGATGATTGGCAAGGGATCACTTACTCCTCACCCATTCTCGCAGCTTTGTTCGAAGCCATATTTCTCTATCGTGATTGTAAACTTCAACTTGAATTCGATTGGTGATATCATATCATTTCGTGTCCGGAGCGAGGCTGTTCTTGCTAAGCTCGAGCTGGCTGGTCCAGGCACAGCCGGAGCTAAGCGGCCGCTCTTAGCGTACTTTTCAAAATTCATATTCCGATCTACTCACGAGCCTTGGTATCAATAACGCGCAACTTCGAACATTCGCACCCAATTCTCCAAGAAATATACGCAGCTTGACGACGGAAATTACAATCATGTCTTCGGGAAAACGCCCAGCTTCCGGATCTTTTGGATCCTCGCAGATGGTTGTCAAAAGGCAGAATGTAGGGAATGATAGCACAGCTTTAGCTACCACGAACGGTTCAACTGGCAATGGCGCGCTCATACAAGCAGTACGTACACATCGATGTTTATGGAATGATCTGGTATGTAGGGAGCGTCTGACTAACTTTCGAGAAATAGGTACCTAGGACGAGTGGGTTACAAGCTCCAATAATGCAATTGGAAGGACACTCGGGAGAGATATTTGCTGCCAAGTTTGATCCAAATGGAAACTATATCGCCTCAGGGTCCATGGATAGATCAATCAGTGAGCAAAACATTCTCGGTCATGATTGCGATCATACTAATCATTTGCAGATTTATGGAGAACATATGGAGATTGCGAAAACTACGGAACTTTGACAGGACATAAAGGCGCAGTATTAGATTTACAATGGTCTCGCGACTCGAGAGCTTTATTTTCGGCATCCGCAGACATGCATCTAGCTAGTTGGGATCTAGAGACCGGTACGAGGATACGAAGACATGTTGGACACGAGGAAGTGGTCAATTGCATGGATATCAGCAAGAGAGGAGAGGAACTTCTCATAAGCGGATCAGACGATGGATATATAGGCATCTGGGACCCAAGGACAAAGGCTGCTGTCGACTTCATCCCTACCGAGTTTCCTGTTACAGCTGTGGCCTTAGCCGAAGCTGGAAATGAGCTGTATTCTGGTGGAATCGACAATGATATCAAGGTATGGGATATGAGAAGAAAGGCTGTGGTTTATTCCATGCTTGGTCACCAAGATACTATTACATCACTTCGTGTTTCGCCAGATTCCCAAACACTTTTATCGAATTCAATGGATTCGACAGTTCGAACGTGGGATATAAGACCATTTGCGCCCACTGAACGACATGTTCGAACATTTGATGGTGCGCCTGCAGGAATGGAGAAGAATTTGATTCAGGCAAGTTGGGATTCGACTGGAAAGAAAATTGCAGCTGGTGCTGGAGATGGAACTGCTGTCGTCTGGGATAACGAAAATGGCAAAATCTTATATAAACTACCTGGGCATAAGGGATCGGTCAACTGTGCCGAATTATCACCTGGCAAAGATCCTATAAGTAATATTTCCCTCTCCCATCCTACACCTTATGTTGCTAACAGATTTACAGTTCTTACCGCTTCTTCGGACCGTACATTACTCTTGGGAGAATTGAAGTGAGATAATATACAAAATGAGGAGGTCGAAGTCAATAAAATAATACCCAAACAAATCAGTCTAACAGAAGATTCGGGGTCAATCAACCACGAACTAGAAAGCTTACGAAAAGTTATGCAGGCTGTTTAAATGGCGTTGAGGGAATGGGAATGCGAATAGGATAGGCCTTACAGATGTTTGAATTCAACGGCAATGGTGTAATTGATACGAGAAACTTGGAAGACCTGAACGCACAAGCACGGATAAATGTATGAAAGATATTCGTACATTTACCCCTCACCAATCCAAATCACTATATTTGGTTCAAGCTACGCAATTTATTATTGATCGAAATAGCCACAGTACAAGGTCTTCAAAATAAGATTCGTATGGGGCGTGTTGGGCTGTAACTTTTCTGTAGAAGTAGGACTACATTACAGATAAATGTAAATAATAAAAAAGTAGAGTACTGAATATGATATTAAATCAAACACCAAAGATCTCATTATATCGTTCCTCGAATCCTCGAATCCTCAAATGCTTAACGATATCTTTTTCTTTCCTGCCGAGACCAACCAAGCCAATCTAGATGTTCTTGATTCCAACAAGCTTTTTGCAAATCTCCCATCATCAGCGCGGTTAATCAATTAGACGAGATCTTTACCCCTGATATAAAAATGAATGAAGAAATTTGATTGGTGGATCACAACCTTCATTTGAAACAGACTTAAATTTGGAAGGCTTCACTTGGAACTAGATGTGTCCCAGATCAAACTCGATTTAGGTCAAATTGGGGACAAATGAATAAATTCTATGAGTGCCATCCTTGAAATGCAATTCGCCATTGAAGGATATCAAACAGCTTGATATGTACCTAGGTAAGGACCACTCTTGTTTTCGTCGCAGATTTCCCTGGTACTGTATCATCAAACAATTATTATTACCCATGGGTCCATGGTCTTTTCTCGTATGAGACAATGTACATGAGTTCTCTACGAAAATAGAGTGACTGGTGGTAACAAGTGGTAAGGTACGGGAATACCAGACGACAGTTTACTCAATCAGCATCACCGGCCAAAGCTTTTTCTCCTATCCTCTCTTTTTGCATTTGCTTTATACTTGCATATTATATTTGTATTTGAATTTGAGTTTGAAAGGCCGTGAGCTGTGTTCTCCGTTCCTTACATACCCTTACATCCATTTTAGTGGTCAATTTCGAAGCAATTTCTGACCTTTCGAGACTCAATTCGTGGAGCGAAGGAGTTCTCTCTCAGTCAGACGTTTCGTATTCTTCTCTCACTCGTTACTCTCTTGGTCATTTCTTGGTCTTTGCGCTCTCCATTTATGCATTTGGGTTTGTTACTTTACATGACAGTTTCCCCATATTCCCTCCGAATTATTTTGCTGCCCTGCCTGCATAATCCTGTCGACTGGTGGATACTGATTTGCGAACGATTGCTGGCCTTTCGATTCGGGCATCCGAGACGGATAGACAGACGTGTTTTACTACGATAATTTGACCTCTCATTCGACCTAATGTCTCCGAGTTATATCAATACAAGGTCGTGTTGACAGGACCTCACCTCTCGTCGAAACCCAAATACCGTGGGGGCATCGCGGGTTGCGCAAATAAAAGGAACTCGATCCTTTAAAGAGCAAGATATTGTTCTCGTCTTCTAGAGATCTCGCTTCAACATAACCTCTCGACACAACTCGAAGTATTGAAGAATAATGCCTCCCCGACCGAATGAGGATGAATTTAGGCATGTGCCATCAGCTGAATCGGCTAGGCGTCACTCGAGGCTAGAAGATGTTCGAGAGGGTTTACATACGTTGTTTTCGGGACGATCAAGCGTTGGGGCCAGGAGTCCTTCCCCAGAAAGTCCTAAAGCTCCACGATTGGTCGGTCTTGGCAACCTGCCATCAACTCGAATCCATATCCCAGGTCTTACTATAAGTCGAAGCTCGACGCGCCGAAGCTCTGCTGCACCTGAGCCAACTTTACCTCGACATGATGAACCGCCTGTGGTCTCTCATTCCGCTACCCGGTTTTCGCAATACACACAATATCCTGCAGTTTCTTCCCCCATCTCAACGATTCCACCTCGAGTGCAAAGACGGTCGGATCGCAGGTTTCTGAGTGTAGATCCTGCTGAACGGCATCTGGTAGACTTGGCAGATAGAGGAAGGAGGAGAAGGGGAACTCCGAGAGGGACACTTGAAAGTACTGGTTGGAGAACATGTGGGCCAAGAATTCGGAATAAGAAGATACGTCAAAAGATAGTACATTCCTTAATATCTGGGCTGGTATGTACTGCATTTTCTCTATGCCTATTGTTTGCAAAATTTCTAATTCAATTCTTTAGTTCCTTGTTCTCATACTCACGATATATCTTGCATTAGCATTATCAAATAAGGATGAGACGCAAGAGTTCCATGTTCTCCTAATATTGATAATCCTAATCGTCACCATCTTCTTCTGTCATTCCCTGATTCGCCTCTGTATGATGATTGTAAAGCCACCAAAAGAGGGAGAACCAAATCCGCGACGTCTTCCATCAATGGTTGGGCCAGGAGGTTATGCAGAAACTTCCGTACCGATACCAGTAGCGCTCGCCAGAGATGAGGAAGCGGCAGGCATTGAAAGCCAAGCCACAAAAGTTCCACCACCAGCTTATGGATTGTGGAGGGAAACAGTGGTAAGTACCTTCAGTCTGCAGTTAAGATTTGGGATGGTCAGCTAACAATAAAACTAGAGGGTCGATCCAAATAGGATTTTCTGGCAACGAAACGAAGCAGCTTTAAATCGTACAATCTCTCGAACATCTGAACGACCTTCGACGGCTAATAGACCACCATCATATATGTCGGATGATGGTATCGATTATGTAATTGAGGCGGCACCACGTTTGACTGTTCCCGAAGATAATGTCTTACCTCGACATCCAGTCGATCGATCGGAATGTATATCTAATTAGTGATGCATTCGCACCAATTAGACTTGGAAGCAATCAAATCATCACGAGAATGAGTCCTTGATGGAAACTCATTCTATTTTCTTTTAAAATATGTAGTCTTGGGAGAATCAAAGTTTATAATAGCTTTGAACTTGGGTGTACGGTATGGAGTCATTGATCTTTTGAGGCGTTCAAATAAATGCATATACCTATGGAATGTTGATAGGGTTCAGCATAAGTTTTTGGAGTTTTTTCTTGTGTATGGATGGTAGCTAGCTTGTGGTTTTTGAAGTTGGTGATGGATGGCTGTGTATATGAGTATATATATCTATCTGGGTGGATGGAAAATATTCAAAAATTGTTGAATATGGTGGATTATGTATGTATGTACAGTACAGTATTACAGGATTTGAGGATTTGGGGGGGATGGATTCTTTCTTGATTTGGCTTGGATCAAGCAAGCATCGAATTTTGAAAGCGAGGGTGAGAGTTAGAAGAGAGTTAGGAGAGAGGGGAGAGGATCAATTGGGTAGATGCTAGATAGATAGATAGTTGGGGATTCTGTAATGAGATGAATTGAGTGAGATGTGAAATATCGGATAAATATTACAAATATTGCTAGAGCCATTTTGAAGTCTCCTTGTCTCGTACTTTGTAGAGACTCTGAGGGCAAACTACTATGAGTATCTGTGCAAACTTCAAAGGGCTGATCTAAACAGATACATAATCTTCGGGGTAGATCCAAACCCGAAGGCTACATCCGGTTAGATGGGCAATATATTCCTATCGTTCACTACCTCAGCGAGAGCGAGCGATGATTAGACCAAGAATGTGCTAGAGCCGCATTGTAACCTATCGATTATATTATATTGTACGGAGAATGGAGAATAGATAATAGATTGACTAGCTAAATATTCATCTGTAAAAGTTGCACCTGTCCCATTATTTTCTTCTTCCGAGATATTCCATAATGAGGTTTTATGCCCGGTATGGCATGGTATGGTATGGTATCAATATCCGATCTTCATTCCGTGAATGCATATGGAGGGATGAGCGTGCCTGAGTTGATTGTCTTTTGCCGCCCTTTCCTGGTATGGGAGATGGGGGATTTGGGGGATTTTGTGTGCACTGTGTAGTGGGTGATTAGGTAATAAAGTGGGTAAAGTACTAGGTATATACGAGTAGGTATATACGAGTGGAAAGAGAGGGCAGAGTTGGTGACTTGGAAGTTGGTCTAGTATAGAAGAATGACTGAAGTGAGTTGAGTTAAGTTTCTTTCATTTCTTTATTTCTGTGTGTACAAGCAAGTACACCAGAATTAATTTACACCACCCATACAGACGAATGTCAACACGAGTGAGTTTCACTTCACTCCCATGAGTTCATCCCTTCACTATTTGACAGATAACAGATATATTACAGTAACTAAAAAGTTATATTTATTTACCCCTTTTCCCCTTCAATGAATATTTATGGAATGTACGATTAGATTCCACTACAAGTACTATAATATCATATTATTATTAATATTAGACTTTCGTATTATAACCCGTAAATCGTAAAAAGCATTACTTCATCCATTCCAATGTTCGGACCTATCAAATGTACGGATTTCCCATCTGCCCACTAGTTCATACACCCATAATTCACCACTTTGCCCTGATCCTATTTAAACTAAGCTATTCAAGTACTAATCTATTTAAGCTAAACCAAATTAAGCTAGATCAATTTAAGAATTCGGGTCTCTTTGCTTGCTAGAGTTTTTCAGGTTCAGGTTACAAAGGGACATCTCTTGAAGTTTTGCCTTCCGAATCCCTCCACAAAACACATCACACAATTCTGCAGTCTCGTTTGCGAAACGTTTGTACCACGGGAGGAAGAAGGAAGACGGAAGTCGTAGCTGTTGTTGAAGGAAAGGTTGAATACTTTTAAAGGAAAGGAAATTCAAAGGAAAAAGGAAGTCAAATTTTGTGAGTAGTGGTTGATTTTATTTGCTTCCTTGGTTTGTTGATTGGATTGATGGATCTGGAATGGAGATTGGGAAAGGAAAGCTACAGGATGGTCCTCGCCGGTTACATCTTTTTTTGCGATGGATCCTATGTTCTCTAGGTGAATAATCTCTTGGAGTTTGAACAAACCAAAAGAAAGAGGTGGCACATCTGCTTGATGATATTCAAACCTATCCAACATCCGATCTTTCCATCCTCAATATTACGTACAACAACAATCCTTACCGCTTGAACGAACGACGGAAATCCTCAAAAACAAATCGACAAAGTATCACTATATCAATCTATGATTCCAGGTTGCACAAGATTTATGCACCCTGCAGCCTGACGGATGCTGGTCATGCAACTGCAACGTTCTTTTGGTGGTTATTTCTATGCCGACTTACCTCATCGACAAAAATTCTTACAGCAGAAGTCACCAATATGTCGGCCACGACAGTTGAGGAATGGTTAAGATCGGATCGAGCAGATGAGCCACCGCACCGATGCAGGAAGATTGTTAAAGAATGGGCGACGGAGGATGGCGCATTTGTTACGTGCCGTGCTGATGATGGAACACAACAGACACATAAATTAGTAGCCATGTCTTCACTATCACGTCGTGCTTGCTACAAGTAAGTGCCTCCACTTCTCTTCAATGTTATGAGATGCTTAGCCCAGGAGCTTGTCTGTAAGGCATCATATCATAGAATTCAACACTTTTTGCGTTGTATTCTTCTGCGTTGTAACATTCTTGTTTCAAAGAGTAACACTAACAATGGCTATCTTTAGGTGCGGAAACGTTGGTCATTATGCTGAAGTGTGCGCTTCTGCTGAACGCCTTTGCTACAATTGTGAGTACACCACACGAACTTCCTCTATGATAATCGATACTAATATTTTGATTGTTAGGCAAGCAACCTGGTAGGCTTTCAAAAGTAAAGCACAACTCATTGTCATACTAATATGTTGTAGGACACGAATCGAATGGTTGCCCATTGCCAAGAACTACCGAGGCTAAGCAGTGTTACCACTGCCAAGGTTTAGGACACGTTCAAGCCGACTGCCCAACTTTACGCATTAGCGGAGCTGGAACCACTGGTAGATGCTACAACTGTGGTATGCCCGGACATTTGGCTAGATCTTGCCCAAATCCCGCTGGTGGAATGCCCGGCGGAATGCAAGGTGGGATGCAAGGCGGTATGCAAGGTGGAATGCAAATGCAAGGTCCTCCTCGCGGACTTGGTGCTCCTCGTGGAGGATTTGGTGGTGGTGGATTTGCCCCTCGCGGTGGATTCGCTGGTGGACCTCGTCCAGCTACTTGCTACAAGGTAAGGAATATCCTCGAACATGCCACATGCCCCGGATTTTCCGGTGGCATTTTATGTCGGCAACACTTGGTCGTAATATTAGAACATGCTAACTCCTGATAGTGTGGTGGCCCAAATCACTTTGCCCGTGATTGCCAGGCTCAAGCCATGAAATGCTATGCATGCGGAAGAACTGGTCACAGTTCCCGTGAATGCACTAGCCCCAACGGCGGTGTTAACAAGGCTGGAAAGACCTGTTACACATGCGGAACTGAGGGTCATATTGCCCGTGACTGCCCATCAAAAGGTCTCAATGGTGACCTTGCTGGAGAAGGCGGTGCTGGCATAGTTAACCCTATGGAAGGTGCTCCAATTGCCCCTGTTGCGGCACCCATTGCATAGGTTCCCTTGTAGAGGGATACCATTGTTCGATAGACCTCGATGAACTATCGAACACTGCTTTACCACGGTTCATCGTATCGTCTTTCATTTGTACTTTGGACATAATCATCAATTGATCCTGGGTGATCCACTCGTTTTCTCGGCATGCGAAAATCGAACAGCGTTTTATCAAACATCACGGATTGCTTCTTTCGGCGCCTGGTCTTTTTCCATGGTTTTCTTCTTGACATGCCCTCCCAAATATAAAAGAGTAATCTTGCACACGATATTCCTTTCTTACCCTTTACGAACTAGCAACTCGGTAAATACCTACAACACTACTTCTGACGACGTGGAGCCACCAATCCTGTGGTTTTCATCTTACAAGATAGGATTATATTTTGGCCACTTACAAGGCAAAAAAGCGAAAAAGTTCTATCTTATTATTGGTGATGTGACGAACGAAGATCAAGTTCAACTTACGAATAGGAATCTAATCACATGGAATTATTTCAAGAAAGGGGCTGAGACAAACGGATAAGGAGTTACTTATCGATGGAGGTAGATAAAAAAATCATGAGAGATAAGATATAAGTTGGACGGGCGATGGGTGTTTTGATGAGATTAAAAAAAAAAAAAAGGAATGTTAGATAGGGGATGGATGGATGAGATTGGGGTTAGCATGTATGGTAGGAAGGGATGAAGGGAGAGGACAGGAAGACCGTCGTTTCTTTTACACTTTAGTAGCAGCTTAGTAGAAGCAAAGTGTGTATTATTTAAAAGTCTCTCTTTGATGTGTTGGGATGTGATGTCTGTGTCTATGTCTATGTTTTTCGTTGGTGGAAGTCTATGCTGCAAGGTTTGGTGAATAGGAGGGGAGGAGGATAGGAGGATGGGTGGATAGGAGGATACTGATTGATGATTATTATTGATGTGCTCTGTTTGTGCTCGAGTATTGTTTTTCTTTCTTTTTATGAGGGTGATGAGGAGGGTGGTGTATGTGTATATGTATGTGTGTAAGTGAGTGAGAATGTGTTTGGTATTGGAAAGGTGTAGATGTTACGAAGTCAGAAAGGTGTTATGATATTAGGAAGGTATAGATGTTTGTGTATGTATGAGGAGGGAAGGAAGGGAAGAGAAGGGAAGGGAATGAAGGGAGGGGAGGGAGGGATGCGGAGGGAAGCTGATGGTAGGGAGGGGTGGAACCGGAATGGAAGTGGATGGAAGGAAGCTTGTTTGTGGGGGTGTGGAGGGGAGTAGATGTTGGAGTAGAGAGTTGGTTTGAGGGGGCTGGGGAGTACAGTAGGGAGTAGGGGGTTTGAGTAGGGGGTTTGAGTAGGGGGTATGGGGCTTGGGGCTTGGATGGTATGGTGTGGTATGGTATGGTGTAGAGTAAAATTGCGTGTCTAACTGACAGTTGAGGTTACACTAATTAATCATAAACCGACCGATTGCTAATTTTGAACTTCATGGATGGAGTGAAGGAACTAAAGTACTGGTTTAATTGGTTTAAGTAGTTAGCTAGACTAATGAGCCAGACTAACAGTTTGGAATATCATGTTTCGGCTAGTAATTGAGGTGAGGTTACACACATTGAATGGAATCGACTGCTAGTTCTTCTTTTGTAATTCAAGAAACTAAACTAAATTGTTGGTTTGATCGGTGCACTAATTTGGTTTAATTGGTTTATTATTTGACTATTTACTATATTGGATAAGGATGGGGGTAGGATACTATGGGGGTAGGGAATTCAAGTTGTTGGGTTTGGGTTTGTTAGGATGGTGTGGTGTGGTGTGGTTGTGATGTGATTGGTGTTGTAGAGTAGAGTGGAATAGGGTAGTGTAGAATAGGGTTATCAGCCCTAGGAGATCGGAAAGTGTAAGTGTACATATGAATATATTTCATGGCTAAAACTTGGAACGATAGGTACGTATGTAATTTAGTGGATAGTAAGGCAGTTTGAAACTAGATAGGTAGGTAGATATTCAAAAAGTCTCTACTCGCCCTACGGGCACCTCAGGAGGGTAAATCGGCCATTTTTTGCAAGCATCCTTTGTAGCGTATGTATTGAGATTTGAAGCTAAAATGCCTCCGATATCGTTGGCTACCCTCTCCCGGGCCTCTCAACTGCCACCCCCTCCCCTCCCTGATTTTCATACCTTATTTTGAACCTCGTTGTCGCACCCTTGTCATCGCTAACCCTTAATCGTTTATATAAACGATTGAAACCATTCAAACTAACTTCCTGAATACTGAAACATTGAAAGGATTCAAGTTGACTTGAATGAAAAGTTGTAAAGGAATATGATTGAAAGATTTCGGTAGATATGAATGATTTAGAATGAATTTGAAATCATCGATTTAGAGTGAAAAAAATGAAGCTATATCGAACTAATTCATATTAGGCTTAGACTATGTATTCAGATCTTAATACATTTCATTGTACTTCAATATGTGGTTTAGTGCAATAATAACCCATTGATGGGTAAATTACTCTCCTGAGGTGTCTGTAGGGGTTGGTACTTAGATTAAATTCTATAGTTGTGTTATGTGTATTAAAAGATAAGTTTATGAGGTGGTAGATGTGTTATTGTAAGGGATGAATGAGATGGGTGTCTGATTGATGTTGATATATTCGAAAGTTGAGAAAGTGAAGTTGAAGCTATTTGGTGTTATTAGAGTATCATATCTATTTGGTTTGAAGTTTGAAGTTATTTATTTCATATATGATATAATCGATGAGTTATTGTTTCGGTTTTATTTTCACTTCGCTTTTATTCAAGTCAAGTCATTATTGCACCATACGAGTCGATTTATGTTGAGATATTACTATTGAAACGTATCTGATCTTGAAATATATATCGAGAATAAGGGCTTGAAGCTTTTGAAGATATTCGGATATTTCATGTTTTTCTTTTACGAAATAAATACTTTGTAGTAAAGGTAGGTGGCGAGGGTAGTGGTAGTGGTGAGAGGGCTCAGATGAGAGGATTGGAGAAAAGCTAAGGTGGCTATCTAGTTTTAGAAGGGGATTACTTGGAAATACATCATGTTTAGATCGATACCTACCTATAGTATGTCATAGAAATTGAATGGTTTTATGAACTGGATTATGTACGGTTATAAGGTCAAATGGCACTTACAGTAAGTGGTTTTTATTCATGGTAAGTGTCTACGGTTCTCTTAGGGTTATAGGGTGTTGGTGATGGGATGGGAGGGAAGATGAGAAAGTTTTATAAGGTTGTATTCGAGTGAGTGTGACTATTATAATACCGGTAAATGACTGGATTGAAACATGGAAGAGGGGGATGAAAGAAGAGGATGGAAGAAGTATGAGGAGAGAGTGGAAAAGATCGGTGGGTAAGCGAGTGAGTGGAGTGAGTGGTTAGAGCTATTTATCGCAGTGCATATGATTTGGGGATGATGTATCTATTTGCATAAAGAGAGGTTGCGACTATGAGTTGAATGATGTAATTAATGATGAGATAGATGGTGGATGGGTGGGATTGGAGGGATGAATGAGATGATGGGATGGGATGGGATGGGATGGGATGATGGATGATGATGATGATGATGATGATGAGGAGGAGGAGGAGGAGGAGGAGGAGGAGGAGGAGGAGGAGGTAGTAGGGTGAGATAAATGGTTAGATGGATAAAGGGGTGCATGGACAGATATCTTATGGGAAGCGAATTGAAGAAAAGGGGAATTGTAGGAGGTAGGAGGGATGAGGTAAAAGATGGGAGATGGGTAGATGGAGGGTGGAAGGACGAATGTATATATATATGGATGGATGGATTCTTTGGAATGAGCATTTGGTTTGAATAGATGGAGATAATAATCTAGACTTTAGTAGTTAGTTATGGGTTAGATGTTTGGAGTTCAGTCACTTCTCATAGTGAAAATTTGGTAGTATATCGTATATCGTATATTTGTATTGTATTTGTAAGTACCTACCTAGTCTCTCAAAACCATATTGAGCATGAAAAAGAAGGAAGTTCACCGGTTACCGGCTCCCTCATCCTGAGATACATTGCGAGATTCGGAAGATCCGGGGAGATCTACAACCCTAAGAGAAGAAGTGCGGAGATGAAAGTGGGGGTTTGGGCTAGGCTCAGTACAGTACAGCTTAAAACCATCTAATGAAAAGAATTCAAACAATATCAATATCCTGTCGTCCACATCGAATTACCATCGGATGAGTTTTTTCATCCGCAATATGGATAGAGGTATAGCTTAGCATAAGCATCTGGGGATTTTCTACTTTGTGAACATGTCCTGGCTTCAGCTTATCTAAGAACTGCCACAATCATAGCCATAGCCATAGCCATAGCCACCGTCACAGCCACTGCATGATATATAAATAATATTGTTTACTTGAGTACTATCCCTTGTATAATAAGTTGTATTTCGTATTTCGTCGATTATCGATGACTTTGGACCTCACACTACTCAAGGCGGCGGCAGAGTAATAGTGATAAAGATTGAATGAATGAGTGAATGAGTGAAATAAATAATAATACTATCTAAACTATAAGTATTTGCTTCTAGTTATATAGCAAAACCTCGATATAAGGATATTCGATATAAGGATAACCTCGAATATAAGGATTATTTAAAATGCCCGATTTTTTTTTGGTGTGAAAACAGAATATATAAGGATAACCTCTTTATAGAGATATTCTTAGGTTTTGGAGATCCCGAAATCTCTGTATATTCTTAATTTAGGCCTATAGGATAAGGATCTGGGCTTATATAATCAGAATATAAGATCACGTGATAAGAAATTGGCCTAGTATTGTTCTATCGGGATTAATCGGAGATCCATCGGGCCTAATCGGGAATTTGATATAAGGATACCTCGATATATCCTTATTTTAGGCGCTAAAAAAGTAATTTTATATCGAGGTTTTGCTGTACTCTTTGTCACGGGAAGGTGATTGACTCTCACGTGACCAACGCTCTCCTCTCACCTTACAAGATCTCGATGAATATCATCAATAGATCGATATCAGAAAATCCATTCTCCCGCTTCAATATTACTTTCTTTCCGTGTCCTGGATCCCTAAGATTAAGGAATAATTAATGTAATTATAATATTATGTTATTCTTATATGCCTTAAATCTTTTCCCTGCTCACTCCTCCTATTCATATTCAAGATCACTCTACTCACTATCCTCCGTGAATACTATTACCGGGTGTGCTTGGGTTTCAAGTATTGTAATCTGTACTCATGTTGCCAGAAAGCCCGCAGATTGGGAACTTAGCAATATAACTTACTATCCTTGGCTTTTTGGTTCTCCAGTTACGGACTTTCGGATGATGCGATCCCCTCACATTACCGATACCGGTATACTTGAATATCCGGTATAACTTAAATCTCGTGAAATCCTGTGATCAAGAGTCAAGACATCATAGTAGGTACTTGGCTCTCCCACTTGCCCCACCGATCTACGATTACTACATCAACAAACCACCTTTTGCAAGCTTACCAAGTCACAACATATCACCATTATTATCACGTGAATGAAATATAAAACAACTTTTGATAATTAGAATCATTCTTTGCATTTCTTCGAGACGGAATGATATATGTATCATTATATTGTCTATATTACGAGACGAGACGAAAAGATGGAAGGAAGGGCTGGAGAGTTCTGGTGGAATATAGAGCCAATGACGATATACTCTAAAACTTATTTCGCATGCCACTTTAGCAATCAAAAACCCATGCCACTTTTAGAGCCCGAATTGTCGATCATCTGTATATACTAGTAATTGAGAAGAAAAGTATAATTACTTGGAGTATTATATTATAAACTAATCAATATTCGATAAACTCTAAAGTCAAATTTCCTATCTTAGTGTAGAAAAACCGGATTCAATTATAATATTTACTAATAGAAATAGATATTCGAAACTCAATTTTCATCTCTACTTACATATTAGATATCTATCTATCCATCAGCAGTCTTATCGAACTTTTGAATCGCTAGTAATTATTAAAGTCCTCTATTCATAAAGCAGCATGAGTAAGACTCTAAATATAGTTCTTCTCATCATTGATTTCACTTGCCACTTTAGTCATAACCCAAATTTCCTCACCCTACTCTATCTACCCTTACATAATTGATTTTACTTTACCACTTTACAACCGAAACTCTCCCAAACCTCACAACCCTCAGAGGCCATCTCTTCTAGGGGTCTTCTTCTTCTCTTCTCTTCTCTTCTCTTCACCTTCATCTATCACTATTACTCAATCTCTTTCATTGTCGCATCCTTCATATTCTGCGACAATGAATAGTAACGTTAATAGTAACGTCAACATGTCCGGTATGCAAAATATGGGTGGTCCAGTTGGGGGTGGTATGCCTATGATGAATAATGGGGCAGCTGCTGGTGCTGCTCGACACTCTACGAGCAACGATAACAATCGATCGCAACTTAATACCTACATTTACGAATACTTCCTCAAGAGTGGCATGTTCGATTGCGCCAGAACTTTATTGAATCAAGAACAGATTAATGTCGTCAAGGATAGCCCTGGTCGTGGCGACGCGGAAGATGGAGATGATTCTAAAGATGATATTGATTCAAAGAGACCCAATGATCTTCCTCTGCCAAATCTTCCCAAGGAATGTCCGGAAAGCTGCTTTCTCTACGAATGGTTTTGTCTTTTCTGGGACATGTTCAATGCTCAGCGAGGCAAAGGTGATACTCGCAATGTTCTTTCATACGTCGCGCACACACAGGTATGTTATCAGTTTGCACTTCACATAAGCAACTAATAAAATCTCATGGGCAGTCGCGTCAGAAAGCAGAGCAACATCAAGCACAGCTTCGTACCATGAACCCGATGCATCCTGGGGTAGCATATGGTCGTATGGGCCCGAATGGTATGATGGGCCCAAATGATCTTGCGCGAAAGGCGATGATGCAAAATGGTAGAGGTCCACCGTGAGTAACCATCTTCATAACTATTCTAATACTAATCATGTTGTGTTGTAGAAGCGCCCAGCATTTGCAACAAATGCAAATGGCGCAAATGCATAATAAGCAACAAGCTATGCAAAGAGAACCTTCCGACGGTAACCATGCACAACGGACTCAGTCTCCAGGATCTGCCGAGAACGCTCCATCTCCATCCAAGCGACCTCGACTTGATGGACCTGGACCTGCTTTCAATCAACCAATTGGAATGGTACCTAATGGAAGAGGACAATCTACTGGAATCCCAGCCCAACAGGTGGGAGAAACCGGCCCCAGCAATACTGTTCAAGCGGCTCATTTGCAACTTTCGAATGGCATCGATTCAAATCTGACAGTTCAGCAGTTCCCAGGGTTCCAAGGCGCAAATCAGAAAAACCTTCAAGCATACCAAGCCAATTTGGCACAACATCAACAGAAACAAATGCCTGGTGCAGTCGCTGGAGGGCCTCCAAACCAAGGATCACCTATGATGGCACAAGGTGCTGATAGCAGTGCCATGGCGGCATATGGTTATGGCGCAGGTGAAATGGGTCAGAACGGCGCAAGAGGCGCCCCAGGTGGCCAGCCAGGTGGCCAGCCAGGTAATGGTAATCACGCGTTGCAAGATTATCAAATGCAATTGATGTTACTCGAACAGCAGAACAAGAAACGACTTATGATGGCACGCCAAGAACAGGATGCCATTCGTCCTGAAGGTCAGGGACCACCCGGCGGTCCTGGAATGGGACCCAGTGGGCCAAATGCACCAACTTATCAACCAGGAACTTCACCACAAAGCGGCCCCAGATCAATCAACTCGCCAAACCCGAGTGAGCAAATGAAACGAGGAGCTTCCCATATGAATAACCAGGGCATTTCATCTCCTCTACCTGAAGGACAGAATAGAGGATCTCCAAGCACAATGAACTTTAACATGGGTCAAGGTGGACAAATGGATGCAGGAATGAATCCGCAGTTCTACAAGATGAATGGGATGGATGGCAACATGATGCCAAACGGCATGCGCCCACCTAGCTCCCACCCCGGCGGATTCACCTCCCAAGGGATGTCACAACAACAATTGATGATGGCACGACAACAAGCTGGCGGCTGGCAAAATGCTCCAAATGGCGGTGCTCCTATGGTTGCCAATCCTTCTCAAGGTCCTCCACAAGCTATGGGCACCCCGCAGCAACGAAATATGCCACCACCCGCAGCTCCTGTCAATGCGAACGCGAATGGACGAACTCAACCATCATCCCCTCAAGGTAGCATTGCTGCACCTCCCACACCCCAGCAATCGAATAAAGCAAATCCCAAGAAGAAGAATGAGACCAAGGAGACAAAAACAAAGGTAAGTTATTTACCGTTCATTTTTTGGGGGGTGGAAATGTTGACATTGATAACAGCGGGCTACAAAGAAAGGATCCGCCGCAAACCTCAACGCTGGTGCTACACCCTCCGCCGACCCAACCCAAGAAGCCGTGACCCCTACCACTGCAACAGCAATTACCCCAGTACAAACGAAAGGTTTCAACAATGGCTCGAATCCCAATGGTGCTGCACAGACCGTCAATGGCCAATCTATGGCGACTGCCCCGAACAATGGAGGTTCCTCATCGCAACCTGATCCTATGAATGCATTTCCCATGAATGACCAACCTGTATGTTTATCGCATTTTGGATCTTTTGTTCTAATACTAATACTTGATAGTTTGACATGCTCGAATTCCAGAATCCCATGGGCGGAAATACGGATGTTCTCACAGACTTCGACTTTGATTCATTCCTGAATGATTCCACTGGTGGTGCTGACGACAGCTATAACTTTGACCCTACGGGCTTCTTGGGAGATAATGAAATGTCCGAGACTGTCTGAAGTAATCTAGGTGCATAGGGTCAATTTTACGGCTTCACGGCGTTTTCGAGCATACTTTGGCGTTAATCGGATCATACCACTTCAAACTTTCCTGGCGCATTGACAATCAATGTGAAAAAGAATTCGAACTTTCAGAAAGGGTTAGAAATGGGCTGGTGGTTGTTGCAAGTGTTCTCTAAAAAAATGCTTCTCTTTACATACATAACACAATCTTGTGATGTTGGATAGGGATCCATGGATGGACCTCATTTCACTTTGTGTTTATGCTATTATACTTTTGATCTTGATCAGTCAAAGGACGTACTTAATTATTTGCCTCACATCATGCCTCGCAATGCGCTCGGCGTTTACGTGGTGGACAGAGTTGTGAGGCTGGAATTGGCTTTACTCTGTCAAAAATGATTATCCTATCTTGTTTATTATTCGACACATTTCTTTTGGATCGGAGGGATATCAGGATCTTTTGGGGGAAAGGGGGGAAAGGGAGGAAGCTTGTGTATTTATCAATCACCAGTCTACTTATTTTCTTTTTTATCAGGGCGGGTTCTATTACTAGGGAGACAGACACCAACAAAAGACTTTTATTTTTTCCCCAAAATAATAGGAGTAATGAATCAACAATTTCTAAATGGCTATGGCTATGTCTAAGTCTAAATCTAAGTCTAAGGGTCCAAATCGGATCTTAGGAGATAGTTGGATGAATCTTTGGATTTGGAAATGGAATGGTATGTATGTATATTTGGGAATGTCTTCTTATGATGATGGATGGGAAGCGGTATTTGCGAATTGAAAAAAAAAAAATTTGGTAATTTATCTCTTGTGGTATGGTGTGATGTGATGTGAGTCTGTGATGTGGTATTGGTATTGGTGTGGAAATGGTAATGGTGATGGTATTGTTTAAGGGGGCTATGTGCTTGCTTTTTCTCGAGTTTGGTGTAATAATGTACGAGTAATTTGGTGTAATGTAATGTAATGTAATGTAATGTAAAAGAGGGTGAGGTGGATGGGATGGGATTGGATGGGATGGGATTGGATTGGATTGGATTGGATTGGATTGGATTGGATTGGATTGGATTGGGTTGGGTTATATGTACTATTGAGTATTTACTTGAGTACTGGATATAGATTAGTGAGAGCGAGGGGGAGGGTGAGTGTGAGGGGGGTGAGGGGGATGGCGAGGGGAATGGTGAGGGGGATGTATAGTGGGTGCTAATGGGTGTTAATGGATGATAATGGGTGTTGCGATTACGGTTGCGATTTTGGGTATGGTACTTGTTTGGATGAGTGTTTGGATGGGTATGGTGGTGGTGTTGTTGTGGTGGTGGTGGGTGGGAGGAGGAGGAGGAGGAGGAGCAGGAGTACCAAATGTTGTTTATTTACATATTCTTGATAGGATAGGATGGGATGGGGGGTGGGATAGGATGCGGCAGGAAGGAAGGGAGGATGGACCGTATGTATTTGAGATTGTTTTATGGAAATGCTTTATGGAATCGTTTCATGGAATTGCTATGTGGAAATGCTATATGAAAGTATTCTGTGGAAATGTTCTGTGGAAGTATTCTATAGCAGTATTATGTAGGGGAATGGGTGTGGTGTGGTATGGTGTGGTGTTGTGTGGTATGGATTTGTTTTGTTTTGTTTTGTTTGTTATGAGTTATGTATTTGATGTGGTTTTTGGGGTGGGAGTGGAAGTGGAAGGGGAAGGAGAGTGAAGGGGAGATTGTTGTTATATATACGTATTGACTATGGTAATGTGGTGAATGTAATGAGTATAAGATGAGATGAGGGACAAAATGGAGATGAGATGGAGATAAAAGAGCACCAATTGGAATGGGCTATCAAGATGTCTAGATTAGATTATTGTACTACTGTAGTATGTAGACGCGATGAGCAGCATATTGGATGGAGTTTTGGTTTACAATGGTTAGGGAGGAGAATAATCTGAGGAGACTATTAAGAAAGAAGGGGGAGATGGGGGAGATGGGGTGAGAAAGGGAAAGGTAAAGGAAAGGGAAAGAAATCGTTAGTTATTTGGAGAAAAAAGTGTTGATTGGAGGATTGAGTGAGTGAAGCTGGGTTAGATGTTAATAGTATCTAATCATGAGATAGACAATCATACTCGAGTAGAACTTTATATACTACAAATCTATCACAGTGAAAGGAAAATAAAACATAATAATATCATAACATGGAAATAAATACGAGAAAGTAGAAACCCTCCGATCTTATACTCGTTACACCAGACCTCCAACTCCAACTCCTAACTAACCACTAACCTTACACTTGCATATCAAACTTTCAATCCTCGAGTACCGTAGGTATTTCGAAGATATAAATATATATAAATCTTTGAGTCTATCTACTCAACACTATACTACACTACATTAAACTACACTACACTACCCATCAAGCCAAGCCGATGATTTCTAGTGCAGGGTCTGAATAAGTTTGTAGATGGAATGACCGAGTCACCATCTATTATCAAGATTCCCAATTCCCAGTTTTTTACGAGCTATGGCATACATGCATGGATAGATGGGTTTGAGGTTATGAGGAATCTCCCGGTGAGACGAGAAGCTTAATAGATATTTGTACTCCATTCCCCCCGGCGAGCTTTCAGATATAAAGATTCCTTTCCTCCCGGTGATGTTGGTTGAAAATACCATATTTATGATTTTCTAGTAAGAATAAACGTTTCATTCATTTACAGTATATACGACACGCGGTGTATTTTTTACATTAAGAAGTGAGTGAGTGAGTTTTTTTTTGTATATTGCGAGCTGATATATATATATGGAAGGAGGTATATATACAGGAGGTACATATATACCTCTTGTATCTCTTGTGAAAATATAACTATAATTGTAAATTATCTACCGAGTACCTATCGAGTACCCGTGTATGAGTATGAGTAAGAGTATGAATATTATGAATACTATGCAAGCTGGAGAGAAATGCTATGAATGAATAATAATATGGATCTCTTCAACCGAATTCTACCTTTCGATTTTTTTGATAGCCAAGAACGTCCTGCGTCCCCCCACCCCGCCATAACAGCTCGGATTATTCGAATGCAATATCGTATTGCTTGTTATTACCTCTCATCTCTCCATATCAGCTCTATTCCTTTTAAGCCCACTCCCAACTACAATGCTCTCTTCTTTCACTATCTCTCCCACCTTCTCAGTCTCCTCCCCCTTATCTCCCCCCTTCCCATCCACGTTAACAGGTGGTATGAAAACCCCACCCTTCAAGATCCATCCCGCCCTCTGCATCCTCCCCCACTCCCTTCCCACCTGATATCTAACTAAATCCCCTGCTGCATTCGCATCTTCTTTACTATCATGCCCGTCTGCTTTCCCATCCGTAAATGTAACCATTTGAATATGCCGATTAAGGATCGTTTGCATGAGCATTTTAAGTCCATTTCTATATGGAAGTCCTGCTTTATGTGGGAATAATAATGCAGTGTCTATGATCGTCGGATGAATGAATCGAGTTGCGTTGAAATCATTTTCGAGACCGTGACCGATTATGGGGGTAGAGGGGGTGAGGAAGGAGAAGAGAAGGGTTCGGGCTATAGCAGGGGAATCTACGATTCTTGGTTTTCCTTTACTTTGGGCGACGAGATCAGAGGCGGGGAAGTTATAGGGGATGGCGGAAGTGATATCAAGAGGGTAAACGCCGCTGTAGCGCGAATTGAGATCGAGGATTTCGCCGTAGGGACGGACAAGAATATCAAGAAGAGGGGAGCCCGAGGGCCAAGAGGTCGCGGTTAAGCGGACGAGTTCGAGTCCATGAACTGTGTAGCCCATTTCGCAATCGATGCAGACGGGTTGGGTTGAAATAGGGGGATCTGCCTTATTTTCGGGGGTCTTTTCGAAGTTCAACACAGCGGCTAAGCGCTTGACTTCGCTGACTTTAAAGACATGATGTTCAGCTGTGGTACACCCGGAAGTGTCTCCGATATTTTGATCACAGCAGCGCCATTTCTTCTCGCGTTTGGCTTTGGGGTCGAGGGAGGACCGATCTTTCCAATAGGGCTTTCCGAAGTGGTAGGTGCAGCAACCACCAGATGCGAGTTTGCCGTCTTCTTCACGGCGACCAGGGAATACTTGGAAGCGAGTTTTGCAGCGATCACATACTTCCCACCCTCTTGATGCTTCTATGCCGCTCTTCGCCTTCTCAATTTCTGCAGAAGTGGGGATAGTTGTGACGTATCCGTGTTGCGATAGCTCGTGTATGGAAGTATACAACCTTGGAAGTATGGCCAATTCTTCTTCTGGAGTTAGACCTGTCTCGATGGGTTTTGGTGGTCCATCGGGTTTTGTGGTTGGCGTGTCTGAAACAGGTGCTCTTAAAGCTTTTTCCTTGGCAATCGCTTTGGTTCTCTCTTCTTTCCATTGCGCAATTGACATTCTCTTGTAGACCATTATCTTATTCTTAACAACATTGGAATAGATGGAAGGTGTTTCACAAGCAGCCTCCTCCAAATCTAGTACCCTTGTGATCAATGCTTGATCTGAAAACACAAGTTCCTCCTCTTCATCGTTTGCATCTTTGGATAACTCGGCGTTGAGACGTTTCAATTGGTCATGTAGCGCTTGCACGAGTCTAAGCCGGATGTTATGAACAGCTGGTGCAGTTTTACGTGCACGTGGATTAAGAGGTTCTTTTCTCTCGGGCTTTTTGGCCGGAGTTGATACCACATTTTGGACTTTTGGTGTGCCTGATGCGATTGGCCTTTGGAGTGCCTTGTTGGGACCGGCAGGTGTAGATGGTATAGATGTACCATTTTGAGACTTGCGACGCAATGGTGGCGGCGAAATCTCACGTCGAGCTACTGGTGTCGATTTAGATGTCTGTATTGGAGGGGGTTCACTCTCAACCACTCTCTGTGTGTTGATGACCGGATTTAATCTCGCCAATGAAGGCGTTGGCACAGTGGTTGGTGTTGTACTTCTTTCTCCATAACCAACTCTTTGACGCTTCCGTTGCCCATTTTGATCTCCATCATCCTCATCGGCTTGCTCAGTAGTTTTTAGCCAAGCCGTTCCGTTTGATACTGTTTGAACGGTGGGATGATCATGTGAGAATATACATCTTGGAATCAAGCATTTGTCCCGATTCGGACATTTCGTTTGCGAGAAAAGATTCTTAGTGGTAAACATCTTGAGGGATTGCGATAAGGAGAAATATGATTGGATAGGACTCGAAAAGTGGCAAAGGGTGAAGCTGATATTTGTCGGATATGAAAGTCTAGAAGATATCACTCTTTGCACCCTCTTTCATAAGGAATGAGCGTAACCTTTGACTAGTGATGACATTTGCATGAAGGTGGATTTTTTGCTGATGAATACAAAATTCTACTGAATTCTTTGATGTAGTTTAAAGGACCTCGTCGCCATTCAGAACGCTATTTTGCAATAAATATCACGTGAATCTCAAAGTTGAACTGCGGGTTGCCGTAGAACATTCTGCATATAAGCTAGTGCGGTTAGGGCTAGGTCCTTCCTTCCTTCTTAGTTCATTCTTTTCTCTCCTTTTCCTCTAGTAGATGGAATGGATGTTGTGGTATAACATCGGAATTGACATCAAACAGCCAGAGAGAAGTAAGGTAATAACACGATAAGGAGAACTTATGAATGAAACATGAGATACCAGTACTGTACTGTACCTACGGTATCTATTCATTTATGTCTTATCTATCTTTGATCCTTTGTATCCATCTGGGTATACGAATATAGACAATCTTTATCATATATGATATGATGATAGTTGGAAGCCTTCTCTTATATTCCTTCCTTTCCTTACACACCCATCATCCATCATTTTCATAAATAGAACAATACATACTCTGTCTGTCCATACAGTTCATGTTTCTTCCAATTTGATACCCAAGGACTGTGCAAACCTTGAAAGCGCATTCCCAGGCTGCAGATTTGTATACTTTCAAACCCTGTAAGAACGCATCATAGTTTCATTCCTACCGATTAAATTCAAACGGACGCGGATATCGAAAAAGGCCGAGCACGCGACAGCAGTGCTTATTGTTAGTGGTTAGAAAGTGTCTTCAGAGACAATTTCTTCCTACTAACTTTTCAGACCTTCGTCGTCGCATTGTTACCTTTCTCCTTTTCATCTTTGGACCGGGCCTTCTTCAGTAACGAAGTTATGGATTATACCGGGAGCAGCCGTGATGCTCAACATCTCTGCGTGCTCGTGCATGGGTGGGTTGTTTACCTTTTCTGCGAATGATTGTATGCTGACAGTATAGACTTTGGGGTAACCCAGTTCATCTGGAAACAGTGGCGAAATCTCTACGAGCGAAACACCCTGAGGAATGTCTCCATATCTTGGTCGCAAAACGTAACAGCGGTAGCTTCACATATGATGGGATTGAGCTGGGTGGCGAGCGAGTGACCGCAGAGATAGAGGAAGAAGTTGAGAAACTTGCGAGAGAGGGACAAGTAATCACCAGATTCTCTATCGTTGGGTATTCTTTAGGTGGCCTCGTGGCCCGTTACTCTGTTGGCTTACTTGATAGCAAGGGGTTCTTCAATAAGATCAAGCCAGTGGTATGTCGATCTGCTGAATGTGCGATGTTATACTGGACATTCCTAACTCAACTTTATAGAATATTACAACTTTTGCTAGCCCTCATCTTGGAGTGCGCACGCCTCTTAAAGGATCTCTCAATCATGTTTGGAATGTTCTGGGAGCAAGGACTCTATCAACTTCCGGTCGACAGTTATTTACGATAGACAAGTTTAGAGACACAGGAAGACCATTACTTGAAATTCTTGCAGATCCAGAATCCATTTTCCTAAAGGGACTGGCCAAATTCGAGAGAAGGACTTTATATACAAACATCATCAACGATAGAAGCGCCGTCTATTATACCACTGGAATTGCAAGCACCGACCCATTTACAAATCCGGACAAAGTCAAGATAAACTACGTGAAGGGTTACGAAGACGTTGTTCTAGACAGACACAATCCAGTTTCTCCTTTAGACAAGGCGGATATAAATGTCAGCACGCGCTTCATGGCCAGTACACAAAAGACCTTGGGAAACCTTCCATTAATTGCCGCAATGGTCATATTCATCCCATTCGGGGTCATCGCATTCCTCCTAAATTCTGCTGTCCAAAGTATCCGCAGCAGCAAGCGTATTCGTCTTCACGAACAAGGTCTAGCCGGCATTCAACCCAATGACTATCGATTTCCTCTTCTTATAAACGGTATGCGCGAAGCCGTTGAAGATGTTTACGAGAACCTCAATGCTACCCAAAGTAACGAATATCTCAATACGCCGTCAGAATCGGACTCTGAAGAGGCATCTGCTTCGTCTCCTTTGATTAGAGAGCGGACCAAATCCTTCCATAGCGAAATTCCCGATCCAGAAAAATCCGATGCAACTAATCCTACCTTGGCATTAGCACCATATCAATTCAAAATGATAGAAGCGTTGGATAAAATAGGTTGGCGAAAGTATCCGGTTTTCATTCATAAGGTTATGCACAGTCATGCAGCTATCATTGTTAGGGTTGACAAACCAAGTTTTGATGAAGGAAGAATTGTGCTGAAGCACTGGTTGAACGAGGAGTTTATTTTGTGATTGGAATCGAACGGGAGGGTGTGAAGGATGCAAATTATCGGATGTTCCTTTTATCATGTTTTTTTTGAAAGATACCTAGCGGTCTTGCTTCGAGCGTCGGCGTTTTTAAAATACAGCATTTAGAGCATATATAGCATGAAGACGAATTTTGGAGGGTCTATTTAAGTTTAGGATTCATTGTAGAATTAGAAGACTTTATGAATTTAAACTATATTTGCTTTCAAGCTGTTTGGTGACTATTTTTGTACACCTATATATCCATCCTATTTCTCTACTCTAAGAGTTAGAAAGACAAAAAATCAAACACAATCCTACTATTTGAGTATAACGAACTACGACTCAAAGCGGAGTGATGCTTGGCCTAAATACTTGTCCCCGGTGAGCTCCCTTCCAAACATGAAATTTCACGTGGTTCCCCGCAAAACAGCTTTACGCGAAAACGCGTTGATCGCGTCTCCATAACGTTTTCAAAATGAAGTCAAGTCAAGTCAAATCAAACCTCAATTTCCAAACCAATTTCAACAACCACTATAATAACTCAATATGGCTCTTATAGTAGATAAACATCGACCTCGTTCGCTCGATCAACTTACATATCATGATGACCTTTCTGAACGTTTGAGATCTCTTGTAGGTTACCGTATCTCTTCAAAAATTATACACACTCTTCCCACGCAAATCAAGCTCGTTCGTACACAATAAAATGCATACTCACCACCGTTCCCCATCTCTAGGCACAATCCGGCGACTTTCCTCATCTTCTCCTCTACGGACCTTCTGGCGCCGGCAAGAAGACGCGCATCGTATGCACACTCAAAGAACTCTACGGACCCGCTGTCGAGAAAATAAAAATCGATTCACGGGTCTTCCAACTCTCATCTTCGTCTCGAAAACTCGAATTTAATATCGTGTCCTCTCTCTATCATTTGGAAATCACTCCTTCGGATGTGGGAAACTATGATCGTGTAGTGATTTCTGAGTTGCTAAAGGAAGTCGCGCAAACGCAGCAGGTGGATCAGAGTGCGAAACAGAGGTTTAAGGTGGTGGTGATTAATGAGGCGGATGGGTTGAGTCGCGATGCGCAGGCTGCGTTGAGGAGGACGATGGAGAAGTATAGTGGCAATGTTAGGTTGATACTGGTGGCTAATAGTACGTCGGGGATTATTGGGCCGATTAGGAGTAGGACGTTATTGGTGAGGGTGGGGGCACCGACCGAGGGGGAGATTGTGAAGGTGCTTGAGAAGAGTGGGAAGAGAGAGGGGTGGGGTGTTAGCAGGGGATTCTTAGAGAGGGTCGCCAAGGAGAGTGGGAGGAATTTGAGAAGGGCCCTTTTGATGTATGAGGCGGCGCATGCGCAGAAGTATGTTTTGTTCCTCTCTTTCTTTCTTTTCACGTATATTCGATTATTTGCTATCAGCAAAGTCATCATACTAACCTACCCCAGCGAAACAATAACAGACATCACACCCATTCCACCCCCCGACTGGGAAGCACTCCTCTCAACCATCGCCCACAGCATGACCATCGAACACACGCCCGCGCAAATTCTCAAAATCCGCGCCCAACTCTACGATCTCCTCACGCATTGTATACCCGCCACCACGATTCTCAAAACACTCACGTGGAAACTTATGCCATTGGTGGACGATGCATTGAAGAGCGAGATTGTCAGGTGGGCGGCGTTCTATGAACATAGGTGTAAGACGGGTACGAAGGTGATTTTTCATCTGGAGGCTTTTGTGGCTAAGTTTATGAGGGTTTCGGAGGAGTGGTTGATGGCTATGGAGATTGAGTAGGGGATGGGGGGGGGTTAAGTGTGAGGGGTGGAATCTGGGTTATGGAGTGAAGGTGGAGTGGGTATGGAGAGGAGAGGAGAGAATTGGGATGTCATGGAAGGAAATTATAGGCAGGTTGGCTGGCGTTTGAGGTGTGAGAATGGATGTAGAAATGTGGCAATATAATTGATGTCCGTCCGTCCATCCGTGTATTTGTTCGAGATATCTACTCGTGTAGTATAATGATTAAGCAAAAATACATGACAACTATACATACATACATCCATACCCCAAAACGTGGAAAGAAGCTGATCAAGAAATACCATACTCAGTCATAGGAAAGACCAACAATAGTTCACGGGCATATACCGAATCCAATACTCTATTCAACACCCGCGTTATACATAGCATATACAACGCGAAACAAGATATATCAAGTTTCAACTTCCTTCCAATCCCCTATTATATCATCCCAAAGATCTTTAATATGCAATTCCCACCTACCTATAGCCATTAGAATCAGAATCAGAATCAGAATCAGAGAGAACTTTCCATCTATTCCATTACGCATATCATATTGCTATACATACATACGAGTACATACATGCACACACATAGCCAAACAAAAATAAAAGCCTGAGCTTGAAGAGCTACCTACCTACGAGTAGATACATCCTACATCCACAGCTCCAAAAAAAAACCCTTGTTAGTCTGGTTGTTAACTTACTGTACTAGTACTCGAGTAGGCAAATGCGTCTTAACGTTGCTAAACCTAGCTATATACTCTAGTAGATATAATTGTAGAATTTCGTAGATGTACTATTGTATATATACATATATATACCCTCTACTCAAATATATAATATCCTCGTTAATTGTAACTTACTCTCACTCTCACTCTCACTCTCACTCTTACACTCATTCCTCCTCCTATTAAATTCTCTTTTCCAATCCAATCCAATCCAATCCAATCCAAAAAGAAAATCGAAATCCGTCCGTATCCGTAAGTTTCTCCTCTTTCCCCTTTCCCCTCTCTATCTACTGTAGTATAGTATAGTATAGTATAGTATAGTATAGTGAGTTATATTCCTCTAATAACCAACATCCAACCAATATCACACATCCCATATCCAGTATCCAGTATCCAGTATCCAACATCAAATTTCACACTTCACACTTGAACATTCAGACATCCACATCCCAACCTCATCCCATCCCATCCCCATCCCACCTCAAAACAAGCAAGCAAACCTCAGGCCTCTAATCCTAATTACTCCAATCTTATCCAAATCCAACCCAGCCTTACCTGAGAGTAAAGATAGACAAGTTCAATCAATTCATTTCGTTTAAAAAAAGGGGTTTGTTTGGGGGGGAGAGGAGGGGCACGCAACGCAGTAATACAGTAGTAACAGTAACAGCAACGATAACAACCGTATTAACATCTTAACTAACTAATCTAATATTCATCAACGCAATCCACGCAATCATTGCAATCAATTAATCGTCTATAATAGTATTTATACTCCCGCAGTAATAGTACAAATACAGACAGATTTATATAGACAACACGCTGTGAGATATGGCGAAGAGTCGAAAAATTCTACTCCTAGCAGCAGTAGGTATCAAAAAAATCAAAGACGAGCCGAGCCGTTCATCACCTGAAAACAAATCTCAAAAGAACGCCAGAAATAAGTGCCATGACTATATCCATTGAACTCCCCCCCCCCAAATGCCCCTTCCAAACCATGCAAACGTGCGTCCTGGGAAAATAACGAGAGAAAGAAAAATTATTTCCGTGTGTATCAAAGAACATCTGTCAACTCGTTTCACATTTCATCTCAACCCATCATCCTGTGCCTTTACATATTAGCCTGTGGTGCATTCATCCTCGGATGCTGCAGCGTAGCTATATTTTGCAGTTCAACCAGTTGGCGCATAACTTCTGCAGTTTGTGCCTGTTGTGCTTGTGAGTTCCTTTTTAGTTCATCATTTTCCGCCTTAATTTTCTTGAATTCCTCCCGGAGAGTCTCTAGTTCACTTGTTTCTTCCTTGCTATTTCCGCGTTTTCTCTTCATGCCTGTTATGACTGCTTGGCTGACATCTTCTTCCGTTTCCTCCATGGTCATTTGCGTCATTCCTGTATCTGTATGTACGCGTCGAAGATGCTCGTTTAGATTTTCTTGACGAGAAAACCCCTTGCCAGTGTGACGTTTACAGTTAGGATGTGGACAGTTGAGTTGCTTTTTAGGGCCGCCGTGTTTTCCGTGCACTTCTCTTTCGTGCCGAAGGAGTCCCCCAGAGTATGTAAATCCAGGGAGCTTTTCGCAACCAGTTTCCTTACATCTATAAGGGCGATCGTGTTTGTCCATATGTTTGCTATGAAAAATTGTCAACAACATTACCAATCAAGGTGGGAAAATCGTGCTTACCTCCACTCGCATTTTCTATTAAAATCTTTAACCTCTTCGGTACATCCCGGCCAAGTGCAGTAGAATCTTCCATTTGCATCCTTTGTAACCTCTCTATCAGGCTTTGGCACTGGCTTTGATCGTCCGGGTGATGGCACTTCCCCCTCATCTTTTGGTAATTCTGGTAATTCTAATGTGTGTTGTTCTGGAGTTGCAGTCATAGGTTGTGCAGTGTAAGGATTCTCGGACATCGGAGGCGGAGGACTTGGGTAATGAGGTTCATCGTGAGTTTTGAACTCGTCTTGTTCTTGGCTTTCGTGTGCCATTTGCATCGGGTACTGTGTATCAGGCATAAATGCTCTGGACTCGTAGCTTAGGCTCATATTGTTGTCGAGACGGGGAGGATCGTAGTTTTGAAAGAAGTTTGGATCAGGGCCTGGTTCGTAATCTTGAAGAAGATATAATCTATCAGGATCAGGGGAGGAAGATGTGGCTGTCGAATAGTCGTAAGAAAGATGGTTGCCACGCTCGTACAGTCCGGCTTGGTCGTTTTGAGGTTGGTTATTGGCTTGTCGATAATGCAATTGCTGATATCCTTGAACTTGAGAGGCTTCAATTTGGTGTTTGCCTTGTGCGCTAAAGTTATGTGGCGAAGTACGTGGGATACCAGCCACGCTTAGTAATCCTTCTGATACACCACCTCCATTATTTTCATTCGTGTGGTTCTTGCATTCGCGGCCTTCAGCTAATAGGTTGGGAGGACCAACAGTTATTATATTTGACTGGAGGTTTGAAACTTCAGGCACAACTCCAATGGTGTCATGATTCGTATTTAAGTTATGACTCGCACGCGTACTGTTGTTGATATTGTTGATATTATTAGTTTCGTTGGTGTCGGCTATTCCTTCATTTTTGTAGGAGGAGCCTTGAGGAGGAGCAGGCGACTTTGATTGTCTGTCCTGTCTGTCCTGTATGACCTGTATGTCCTCTATGTCCGATATATGCGACATGGTTAAAAGCACTACATATAGAATATATTCATCAGTCACATGCCATAAGAGTGATGACCACCGGTACATCAGATACCTACTAGGTAGGTAATGGTAGGTATATACGGTATAGGTAAAGGTATACAAGGATAGAACGGATGTGTATGTATGAAACAAAATAATCGTGACTCACCTTGATTCGTTCTCGGCGCAGCTGCCTGTATATTGTTATACCCAAGATAATTCAACTTTGGTATTGGCTGAAATATTGCTGGCGCTTGATTTACAGAACTGTTCAAATGCGGATCAAATGTTGAAGACCGATTAGAGTCACTCGGCCGTTGTGAGTGTAATTGTAAGTGGTTGCCCTGATATTGACCGAAGATAAATGGATCGTTGTCGTATGGATCGTTGTCGTGTAATTCTTGTTTGATGACTGATCCAGTTTGTTGATCTGGGAAAAATTAAACAGTTAGAAAGCTGAATTTTATTCTAACAGTAATTGATAAAGTAGTGACTGTAGTAAAAAGACATTGAAACTCGAGTCTCGAATCCCCTAGCTTTTGGGTTGAGTTTTCAATGCGGTTGGAATTTATATCGAAGGTTTCATGGACCAGAAATACTTAATTCTTGGTTGATGATTCTGGTGGGTGCTTTCATCCCTACCGTTCAAGAAGGTACAGTACCCAATATAATTTTTATTTTTTTGGATATTTTGGTTAATACCTAGTCGTTGCCTTGGAGACGGTATTGGGACTTGTCATTGATGATTCCCATCGGTGCCTTGTGGATATCTCGAAAACCCCAATTGCCGTAAGTGAATGTTAGTGAATCATAAGATCCGGATGGAAACAATCAACTAGTGAAAGTTCCACTAACACATTTCAAATACAGCCCTACATATCAACACAGGCGAGTACTGTAAGGGGCGGTTATCCTTAGGTTGATTTGTGTTGACTCGAAAGGTCATTCGAACTTGATGGACTCCCGGGTCAGGAGAGCGGAAAGGCACCCCGATAGCGAGGACTCATCTTGGTCAGTCAAACGGTTAAGAAAATCATGCTGCTCACCGAGTGGTAGATAATTCCTCGCTCTCGTGGATGGATGGAATGCTGAGGGTATTGGAGCCTTGCACGGTAGTGGCTGTGGACGGCTACGGCTATGTGACGCGTACGGTTGCGCTTGCTGCCAACACTCAATTCGCATATAAAACATCCAACATACACCCCACAATACCAAGATTGAGAGTTTAACTCCAGACCATGGCCATGTTGAATTGAGAGGGCGTTGACCTCCTGGCCACTCGAAAACCCACCCAATACCTAACAAACGTTCGCGGCGACTTGGACATATTTCAAGACGAGGCTTAGGCTGGCGTGGAATTTCAATGAGTGTTCGACTAGGCTCTATCAGCTCTAACGGCTCAAGTCTCATAATCAGGGCGATTAAAAAAAGGCAACAGCAGCAGAGAGTGATAAATATAGCAGGAACTCCTGCGCATTGAGTTACTGAGCTACTCAATCTGTTGCTCATATCATGGCAAAGATCTTGGCTTGACCTCTGTCGACTTTATCATAGTCAGTTTGTGTACACCACTGGGATCATCTATGAAGCATTTCACCGAATCGTAGGAAGCAAAACCGCCTTTTCGCCCCAATCCAAGAATAGTACGAATATCTAAAGACTCAGGCTGTTGGAACATAATTACCCCCGCAAGGCATTTCAATGCTCGAACCACTAAGAACAATCGAAAAGATGCTCTTTAGGGAGAGAAGAGTTCCCCCTTTACGGAGGTTTTCAATGCCGTAACTACTATGAACAGTTGAAAGACATTCCAAGGAGGGGAACGAGAGAGGGGCACAAGAAAGGTAACAAGGGTAACAAATTGAAGGAAGAAAAGAGACTCACTTGCCCCCGAACCTTCTTTGGCTTGTCTTCAGCTTCTTCTTGATCAATCTACCTATATACCTCATGAAGGCTGATATAATTAGAGTATTGGTGCAATAGAGCTGTATGTACTCCATACAGCATTGCGCTTGAGCTGGTGTGAGGATAATAGGAGAAGACATCGACATCATGCTCGCCTTTGCGAAAACTTTCCAATATTGCCCCCCCAACCAGAAACGTAGGATAAGAATAGAAAATATATAAAAAGAGCGTAAAGATATGACATCCACCTGCACCAGCAAAGGGATGAGACGAGACCAATCTATACTAATAAGATCAACCCAACCAAGCATACATGCACGTACTTGCGAATGAAGGGGAAAGAAGATCTCATCTTCGTCATTTAAATACGAGATCCCCAAAGAAGACCAGCTTTCCCCTGTACACACCGACATCTCATATCACCGGTGAGGGGCCAAAAGCCTCCATGTATCGAATATCTCGAGGCCAAAATACGGTCGAGATAGAATCTATGAGTTAAGCGATGCTTATCTTGATCGGTGAGAGTATGGCTGGGTGCGACGGATATGCTGACATTGGCGTCACAATTATGCAGCCCTGTAGGGCTAGCCGTGGGGGACAAGAGAAACTCTAGTGAGGTGGTGGCTTCTTTGCTTGGGTACGCAGCCTCGTTCGAACCTTTGCTTCACCGTGTTGAAGTATATTCGCCGCCGCTGGTGTGCATCGATATCTCGGATTTTGTTCGCTGTGCCTCGAGTAATGGATAAGATTACTGCCATTGATTCGAAGATGGAGAAGTTTGAATTGTTTTGCTCATTGTTTGTAGGTGGTTTACAAAAGGTTTCTTTTATTGATTTGTTTATTATCTATTACTAAGGCACTTATATTTGTGGTTAAGGCTCATTTTGTTTAAACCTGAGGTGGAAAGGGGACTCTATTCGGAATTTGCTTATACAAAAGACATCCCCCTCCCTCCCCCATCATTTTCACCCATCCCACCACCACCACCACAATCTCACCCACATCACAAAATGTCTCCACAAAATACCTCATGGTAAACTATATTGATCCAAGTCTTAATTATGCGTCGTAAAAGTACCGAAGTGGTAATCATGGCAATTTCCTATTGGAGCATTGTAATAGATGCATCTCCTCATCTATCTTCATTATGACTGTGGCTTGATTTTATTTTCCATATGTCCTTTATTGAGATACCGGCTCATCTTCATCTCTATCTCCATCTTCAACGACACAAACAAAGATCCTTTTACATGTCGTATATTCACCTGCATAATGGTGGATTTGATGATGATACAGAATCTTTGTAAGGTCCTTTATCAGCAAGTGCATTTCAGCTTCAATCGGTCCGCTCCTTACTCTTCGTTGTCCAAGAAGCCACTTGGCCACGGATATTTTTAACCCGAAATACCAAGAAACCATCAGGACAACCTCAAAGAAGAAAGGAAGCAACATACACTTCATTAATATGTGGCAGGCAGCTTCCACCAGCTATACTGTACTATCTTCGACGCAAAACGCCAATGAGCCATCTCTGGCAATGGCGCGGCGGATTCGGACGGTGGTTTGCGTATTGTGCTTGCCCTTTAGCATCAGAACTCACATCTTCCTACATCCTTACATCCAAAGAAATAATGGCAAGCTGGTTGAAAGAAGGGCAATGCCCATGTATCAATCTTTGCTACCGAGAACACCTTGGCCGTGCTATATAATGATGAGAACGGAAGAAGTTAGTGCTTCATTTATCCAGAATAACACAAGATAAGACACCTGCAAGACTTTGGATTCAACATGACAACGCTGACTGTCATGGATACATATCTATAGGAAAATTGACTTTGCCAAGAATACTTGTGCCAACCTCACTTGACATATCCAATCGGTAATACCGACTCAACTCAGCTTATCGACCTCGAAAACTCAACCTCTCTATGCTACCATTTCCTTTTCCTGGTTCTTCTAGAAATCATACTGATGTGATTCTGATCCATCTTTGGAGGTTGCTCCACCTATCGACATCATAGTTCTATACGTACGTTTGCGAGAGCGACCAGTTCTTCTTCTAAACTTCTCATCCTAGATGTAGAGGCGGAACAAATGCAACGAGAACCATTTTGACGTGGTAGCTGTCTTCAAAACAAGGTTTCAAAGCCATTGAGAAAAATGAAAGAGAAGCACCAGACTTGATACATACCAAAAGCTCAATTAAATTCGGTACCATATGTTCAACATAGGCTTCTCAGACTCGTTTCTGAGATTGTTCTTGAGGTCTCATAACTCTCATCACTCGGGTGTACGGAGTAGATGGAATATTGATACTTGTGCTCGGCAAGCTTGAGAAAATTCAAAGGTCGATCCACTTTCAACGGGTCAGGTTCACTGACGTCCACTTAGGAAATGCACTCAGAAAATGACAATCCTTGATATCTGTCTTATCCGACTCTTATGGTGCACGCACAATATGAGCCGTGCTGTGGCCCCATAATATATCTGCCGATGTCTCTCGCGGAAGCTGGGACATCTACATTCCTACTGCAAGTTTCTTTTCCCTATGGATAACTAACTCAACAAAATGGTGGAGACTAGACGAGTATAAAAATAGATATCAAAATTTAGACTTTTGCAATTCACTTTACTAAGTATTCACTTCACTAAGTTCACTTCGCTTGAATTGATGGGAGAAAACAACCATTTACATTTGCATTATAATGCAGATATTGAACTTCTTCAATAGGGAAATTCCAAATCTAAAGTCTTCCTGCATGATACGGTACATGCATACCCAAATCGACCTTGACGCCGGATTGATAAGACCCGCCGATTCGCCAATGACCCGACACTGTGCCGACAATGAATCCCTCTTAAGATTAGACCGAGACAAAGCGAAACAAGCCTGGTCTTTCCGCACCCTTAATCCGCAAGTTCGCAACATGTTCTAGATATATTTCACAATCCTTTTTTGTTTTCTCTCGCTCTACGCCGAGATGAGTATAGCACGAGTGGAAAGAAACATGCCCTGTTATTCATTTTCTTGACATCTTACTCCACTGGTATTCCGCTTGAGTCCCCGAGTTGCGTGGAAGGGTAAAGGGTGAAGCCTGAAGGAGTTCTTCAAAGTTCTTTGAATCTTACCTATGCTGTACAGTAGGATTCCAATGTTAACTCAAATGGTAAATGCTATGGATTTACAGTACTATACTACTGTATTTACTCCGAGAGTCTCTGATAACAGACCGACAAGTGTCGAGCCCCCTCACTCAGCTAGGCTCAGGTACCAGATTTATTTATATATTCATCCCAAGTCTATATAATAGAACTCTCCGCCAAGTCTACGCCGACTTTACGGCCGTTTTCCTATCAGGCCGATCTATCCGCTGCCTGTCTGTCAAACCCGTGCACGGGTAACGGCATCTTATCGAGAAGGAGAGATCCCTACAATAGTAGTACTCCGTAATGAACCTTCAAAATACTCCACTCCTGAACAGGGCGTTGCCTTAATTTCTCTTCTCAAAAACTCATGCATCCTCGTTATCACACCAATCTCGTGGCTTAGAATCTTCTATCGCTTATATTTCCCATTGCCTAAGTCAGGTTTACTTACCGTTCTGCATACCCGCTGTCAAGAATAGTGGAGCTGCAAATCGAGTTTATTAATCGGCTCTTATATTTTGTCCGAATCGTTGGGCGATTTGGCGATATGTAATATGTGATTACTTCATGGGGAATTTTCATCATAGTTATGGGGTTAAAAACAGGCAATATACGGTAATCGTCAGGTCTTGCGTAGTGCTCTAACAAAAATTTTCAAGAATATATATATATATATAAACTTATAGTTTCATTATGCATACCCTCGGTCCTTTACATACATTCCATCCCATCTCTCACAATCACACGTCCTCAAGTTGAGACCGACCAACCCTTAGAATCCTTCAAGAATCAAGTTGACAGGGCATTCTTTACATCATCTCCACTTTCATATCTCCTGTGATAAGAATCTCAAAAATTGCAGAAAAGAATCCATATCTATATGCACATCCCTTGTCTACCTCAGAGACCCGCTCTACCCGCTTTCCTCTCAGAACTTCCTATAAACAATAAATAGATCTGTTGGCCCTCGGGAGATCCCCTTATTTGAAATGGAGGAGCATCGCAGCACGAGGATTGAGTCTGAATATACTGCTAGGACTAGCTTGGAAAAGGTTCGGGATCAGGATCTTTTGCATAAGAAGGCAATCGGTACGGATACTGGAGCGGATATATTTGTCCCAAATTCGAGAACGGATAGAATGTCGAAGGAACATGGGAACATAAATGAGGGGCGGTGGAACGATAGCGATAGTATCGACACGGAACCCTTTCCCGTACAAGACGCTCTCGAAGGCGAAGCGTTGGGAAGTAGTCAGACGACGACATTAGCGAAAGGTGATATTGACGTGGAAGCACAAGGAGAGAAGGAAAAGGAAGATGTGTCGAGATTAGAAAGGGAGAAGGAAGAACAAGATCCGAATCTGGTAACTTGGGATGGACCGGATGATCCCGAGAATCCAATGAATTGGCCTGCGAAAAAGAAATGGATGGTGACTGTCATGTTTGGTTTCATGACTTTCGTCGTTACATTTGCCTCGAGTGTGTTCAGTACGGCTACGATGGACGTTGCGGAGTTGTATGGGGTTTCGGAGGAAGTTGCTGTGTTGGGGACGTCGTTGTTTGTGTTGGGTTTTGGAGTTGGTCCTTTGGTATGTTCTTCGATACCCCTGGCTGCTTCCGTACCAATTCAAATATGGGTTCTTTCGTAGATGATAAAACTAACATTGCACAGGTATGGGGTCCAGGATCCGAGATTTTTGGTCGAAAACTCCCCCTTTTCATCGGCTACGCCGGTTTCGCCATTTTCCAAATCCCTGTCGCCTTGGCGCAAAACCTCTATACCATCATGTTATGTCGATTCATCGGCGGAGCATTTGCAGCGGCGCCATTGGCAATTATCGGCGGAGCGTTAGCGGATTTCTTCGATCCGGTCAATCGAGGTGTTGCCGTTTGCGTTTTCGCGGCTGCAACTTTTATTGGTCCGATTGCTGGACCAATTGGAGGTAATTTCATCACTCAATCGTATTTGGGATGGAGATGGACGGCCTGGATTACGTTAATTCTCGCTGCGGGATTTGGCACGCTGGGTCTTCTTATTGTACCGGAGTCTTCTCATCTGAAGATTCTTCAACAACGTGCTGCGAAATTGAGATTTGAAACGAAAAATTGGGCGCTTCATAGTAAAGCCGATGAAGTAAGCTCTCTAACTAACTCCTACCCTCATTCTCACCCTCGCATATTTTCTCCCTTCCCCAGAATATTCTTACAGCAAATCAAATAACTAACCTCTACCCCAGATCAAACTCACCACTCAAACCATTGTCCAAACCTATCTCCTCCGCCCCTTCATTATGATCTTCCAAGAACCCATCCTCCTCCTCGTTACCCTCTACATGTCCCTCATCTACGGCATCCTCTACCTCTTCTTCGAAGCCTACCCCATATCCTTCCAACAAGCGCGCGGCTGGTCCCCCGGCATCGCCGCTCTCCCATTCATCGGGATTCTCCTCGGAATCATCATGGGCGCCGTAATCATAGTCTGGGTCACCAAAACCCGATTCGCGCGAAAATATCACAAGCACGGAAAAGTGATACCCGAAGAACGTTTACCACCCATGATCCTCGGCTCCTTCATCTTACCCATCGGTCTCTTCTGGTTCGCCTGGACATCCTCCCCGCACATCACCTGGGTTCCGCAGGTGATCTCGGGTGTTTTCATCGGATGTGGCATCTTTATGATTTTCCTGCAGGGTTTGAATTACATCATCGATGTCTATATGTGGCATGCGAATTCGGCTATTGCTGCGAATACCTTCCTGCGAAGTTTTGCCGGAGGCGGTTTCCCCCTCTTTGCGCAGTATATGTTCAATGGGTTGGGCGTGGCGTGGGCGACGAGTGTGTTGGGCTTTGCGTGTGTGGTTATGATACCGGCGCCGGCGTTGTTCTTTATTTATGGCGCAAGGGTGAGGAAGATGAGTCGCTTTAGTCCGAGTGATTGAGGGATCGAGAACTGTGAAAGCGTGACGAGCAAACGAATTTGTGAATGCGGAAATTTTCATGGCTTGAGGTAGCAAGCGGGAGTTTTAATGATATGAAAGGAGGAGAAAAGTATTTGGGTTTTTTTACGCAATATGGTTATGATGATTACGTTCGTGTATATATGTTTTATACCAGCATGACATTTCTTTTGGCATTTGTATAGCGAGGAGTTATTGGGTGGGAGGAATTGGAATTCGAAGACGAGGGGTGTAGATACCCATATAGGTAGATAGATAGATAGATATAGATATTAGTAACTAGGTAATTGACACAATGTACTGAGTATATATGAACTTTGTAGATCCAAACCTAGATTGAGATTGGGATTGAGATTGAGATATTCGGTAATATGGGAGGAAGGTGTATATTCTTTTTGTGTGGGAACAGGATATACTACTGTATGTATGTATGATCTGAATAGAATACTCGAATACTCGAGTAAATCAGATACATCAATCTTCAAAACCCAATCTCCAATCTCCAAAACCCAATCACGCCCTACCTCTCCCTCATTCTTTTTCCTATCCCCTGAAAATCTCTCTCTCACACATCTCTCTCTCGCATCTCTCTCTCGCATCTCCTCCAAATCAGACACCATGATTTGATACGCCATGATTTAGATAACTACAAGATAACACAACACAATACATTACCAGTACCAGTACCAGTACCAGTACCAGTACAAAACAAACCATATCCTCCCCTTCTCCCCCCCCTCCTCCACTCCACTCCACTCTGCATTACTCCCGCCGCGCTAGCTACATGTACATCTACATATATATACTCAGTATAGCGCATCATCAGTTGAAAGAAGTTCTTAGCACAGCTCAGCAATATATTTTATTTAGCCAGCAAACAAACTGATTTCCTGTTTCGAACTAGCGATATATCATTTATTACCTACATTACTATGTATTAAATAGTAGTATACGAGGTATTTGATATTCTCTCGGGACTCATCCCCCAGATATGATGTATATGCATTTTATTTATGGGCACGTACGTACGTTACTGTAGGTGAAGGTATCATAATTTTGTAGTAAACATTTCCTGCACCCACATCACTCGTGCATCGCTCCGTAGCCAAATTACCCTTTCTCTCTCATCTACACCGAGGACGTATAATTCACTCGCTGCACTCAGCCGATCTACCTTCATTCGATCCCATTTAAAAGAAGAAGAAAAAACTCCCCATCCCAACTAAACAATGTGTACATAATTCGCCGGCACACTCTTTACCACGCCTCCCTTCTCGACCTCCGCCCATCCGTCCCCAGGATCCTCCTTAATTAGCACGAATTTCTCTCCCTCCACCATACTATATTCGGCCTCACTCTGCGCCGTATATTCATATAGCGCTTCTACATACTTCAGCTTTTTGGCTCCTCTTCTGGGTGCTACGACTGGACCTTGTTTCTTGCCAGCTGAGATTGAGGAGCCAGAGGTAGAAATTATGGAAACGGGTCTATTGGTAGGAGCTGCAAAGGAGGAGAGAGGGAGTATTTCGAGGTAGGCGGTAGGGACTAGGCCTTCTTTGGGGCCAGATTTGATTTTGGTCCAGCCACCGTCTGGGTTTGGTCAGTGGGTTCTGGTAGGTATGAGAGGGTGGAGGGGTAACTGACCGTCTGGTTCGAGGATGACAACTTCTTTGCCTTCGGCTACTGTGACTTCTTCGCCACCATTGGCGTCATAGGCATATATCATCTTCCCTTTCTGTTCATTTGATGATGATCCATTGACGACACCACTCCCTGGCAGCTCGCTGATATACGCTGTTGGTGGAGGAGCTACAACCCTGTTCTTCTTCAAGATCCCTGGTTTGAGACTCGAAGATATGCTTCTTCGATCAGCCACAGGATCGGGGGGTGTTTCTTCGGCTGGCGATTTTGCAGAAACAGACCTATGTGCACTAGCAGCATAACCCGAGCTTAACGAATTCATCGTGTTGGATCGACTCATGGTTGGAAGCTCCGCAACACTATCTGCGAGACCTGTACCTGGGGCTTTGATGACATTGGCAGTTTCCTGACGTTCCGCCTTTAATTTCTTCTTCTCATCTTTGGTCTGTTCTCCTGGACATTCGGCTGGGACTTTCATTTCACATTTGCTGTGGCATGTGTAGCCGCAATCTCTACAATCGAATCCCTTGGCTGAGAGTCCCCATATGCGTTCACCACATAGATCGCAATTTGTGGGTATCTTGAAAGTTTGGGATTTGAAGTTGTGACTCTTCGAGCCTAATGTGACATCTCCAACCACTTCTGTGATTGTTGATGTTTCAACCTCTGCAGTTAATCTCTTGTGATCAACCTGATGTAGTTCTTCTTGCAAAGCAAAGATAGCTCGAACAACTTCGATTTCATCCCGCTTATCTTTGCCCTCTCTAATCTGCTGTTTCACACGTTTGGTACTCTCAACTTCACGTCGCTTCTTATCCACTTCTCTCCTTAGATCTCCAAGCTGAAGTTTAGATTTACTAAGAACGTTTCGAAGAAAAACTTTTGCAGTATCTCCCACCATCATCGCATCGTCGTCATGCCATACAGGACTTGGTTCGAATGGCTTGTCCGGAGGCTCTTGCCAAGGCCCTACATTATGCCTGACAAACATCATACAATCTAAAGTAGGTTGGTTTCTTGGTATCTCTGCCGATAAGTGATTGACAAACTCCGTGCTACGTTCTAGCATTCCCGTCTCCAAATGCGCCGCTAATGACCATATACCATTGAGCTTAATTGTGCGCGATTCGAAGAGGTCTTGTAAGCTGTCAAGCAGATCCGGAATATACTCATGATAGTATTTCTCCTTTTGCTTATTTGTAACATTTATAGCGATTAAGTAGCCATTCTTAACGTTGTGCATCTCGAGAATTTGTTGTTGGTATGCATTCTGTGCTTTTGTCTTTGAATAATCAAATGAAGATTCCGCCTTCTTCCGCTTGTTCTCGACTTCCTGGCACGCAGTATCGTATTTCCCTTTCATCTTACGCAGATCCGCATACGTAGAGTCTCTTTCCTTTTCTAATTTATCCGCATATTCAACGTGGCGTTTGCGTAACTCTTCGTAACGTCCCCCAAGCACTTTCAGTGGCTCTGCGACCTGGGTAATCAACTCTCCTCCAAAGCGGTCGTGTTCCGCTGCGCGAGATTCGAGCGTGGTAAGTTGTGTTGTCCATGTTGTTAATGACGCACTACATGCGGTTGGTTAACAGTTGCACAGCTGTTTCTAAGGAATAATGCCCCAAACCTCTCGAGTGACCCAGGGGTCATAGCAGGTGTATCGCCGACACTTAAACTGCTAGACTTTTTTGTCTTCTTTTCGTAATACTTCTTTGCCAAGGCATTGAGCTTTGCGCTGTATTCCTTCTCGATGACACTTCTTTCACGATAGAACGCTTGAATGTCGTCCAGCCAGTTGATACCGTTCGACACCCAGCTATTCGCTGGTTTGAATCCATCCTAAAAAGAGACAAGTATCAAATGTCAGATAAGACATTGGTTGAGAGAACATGCGCCTTCACTAACCTTTAGCTCAAGCCCGAATTGGGGAGCAATGTCAATCTCCGCCATAACGTATACCACAATGGTGACCGGTTCTTCAGTAATCTAGAGATCATGGGCAACGCGGGAGATGGAAAAGATTCATATTAGAGAAATTCAATAAAGAATGAAAGAATATGAAGGTGCTTTTAGGCATATGCTATTACAGTATACTATCAGATCAGGACAATAACCGTAATGAATAAACCCATACATGTAAATGCCCCGCCAAGTTACTAGAGAGTTGGATTGAGATGGGAGGGTAGGGAATTGTGGCTACGTGGCTTATAAGTGGTGGCTAAGTGGCTGTGAGGCTGTGAGGCTGTGGATTCTATGAGGCTGTGGATTTTTTTGGTGTGGCTGTTTTGATTCGGAGAATAAAAGAGCGCTAGTTAACTATCGGTTAGGTTAAGCGTCATACACAAAGAAACAATTTATCGTCTCAATCTTTCATCCATCAACTTCCATCAATCTCTTACCATTTCCACTTATCAAGTTCTCAACTTCTTAAACTCTTAACAAACTTACATCAAATTTAATTTATATCAAGTTTACAATCAAACGACTTTAATCTATTCAAACAATCCTAACTTATTCAAACGACTCTTAACAAACTTACATCAAATTAAATTCACATCGGGTTTATCATCAAACGATCCTAATCTATTCAAACGACCCTAAAACATTCACACACATATTCAAGATGTTCGCCTCCAAAGAACCCACGGAGTCCACAAAGCCCACGGAGCCCAAGAGCACATCGCCAGATAAGGTTGTCGAGGCAGCAATCGAAGAGCAGACGCAAGTCGAGGGAGCTACAGAGCTCACGGAGCCCAAGAGCACATCGTGGGCAGATCAGGTTGCTGAGGCATCAAGCAGCGAAGATGAGGCAAGCATCTTAAAGCAGGCTCAAGTTGATGGAGCTACCGAGACCTTGGGAGGTGGTGCTCTCCATGATACTGGTGCATACGAAGTTGAGGTCAAACTTAGCGATATTCAAGACGATAAAGCTAGTCCTTTATACTCTGTCGAGACGTTTGAGCAGTTGGGAATGTAAGTATGAACTTCACTTTTGCAAAAACCAAGCTAATCAACTCTTCCAGTGACCCTGCGATCCTCAAGGGACTCTATTCAATGAATTTCAAAAAACCTTCCAAGATTCAAGAGAAAGCTCTTCCGCTCTTACTTAGCAACCCACCCAGAAACATGATTGCGCAATCACAGTCAGGCACGGGAAAGACTGCCGCATTCGTAATCACCATCTTATCCCGTCTCGACTTCTCAAAGCCAACTACTCCACAAGCCTTATGTCTGGCACCAAGTCGTGAACTTGCCCGTCAAATCGAGGGTGTTATCAAAAGTATTGGGCAATTCGTCAATGGCTTGACTGTACAAGCAGCTATTCCAGGTGCGGTGGAACGAAATGCTAGAGTAAATTCAATGGTTATCGTCGGTACACCTGGTACGGTAATGGATCTGATTAAAAGACAATCGATCGACGCATCTCAGATGAAGATTCTAGTCTTGGACGAGGCAGACAATATGTTGGATCAGCAAGGTCTCGGAGATCAGTGCATGCGAGTCAAGTCGTAAGTTTGGTCTTTTTACTCTAGAGCGTCATGTTCTAATCAATATCAGGATGATTCGAGTCGAGCAGATTCTACTCTTTTCTGCAACTTTCCCCGAAGATGTCTACGGCTTTGCTCAGCAATTCTCGTCACAGGCAAATGAAATCAAATTGAAGCGCGATGAAATTGCTGTGGCCGGCATCAGACAGATGTTTATGGACTGCCAAGATGAGGGCGGGAAATATGAGATTCTGGTTAGGCTTTATGGTTTGATGACAATTGGATCCTCAATCATTTTTGTGAAGGTAATTTTTGATGAACACACTTTTTTGATAGTCATACTGACCAATATTATAGCGAAGAGATACTGCCAGTCACATTGCCGAGCGTTTGACTCAAGAAGGTCACAAGGTCGTCGCGATTCACGGAGCCTATGAGGGTTCAGAGCGAGATTCAGTACTCGAAGAATTTCGATCAGGAAAGGCCAAGGTTCTTATCACTACAAATGTTCTTGCCCGAGGTATCGATGTTCAAGCCGTCTCAATGGTTATCAACTACGACATCCCTATGAAAGGCCGATCGGATACGGAACCCGATCTAGAAACCTATCTACACCGTATTGGCCGAACCGGAAGATTCGGACGTGTTGGTGTCAGTATCAGCTTTTGTTTCGGCGCAAAAAGTTATGAAGCACTCAAGAAAATCGCACGCCATTACAATATTGATCTTATCAGACTTAACCAAGGCGATTGGGATGAGACGGAGGACATCGTCAAGAAGGTTATCAAGTCAAGCCGTGCTGGTACCAATCTACAAGCTTGATTTCACTTTTCATATGTATCCTCTATTCAATCATCGGCATTTTTTCAGCATCTACTGGCTTTAGCATAACATGGGAGAAAAACAGGCGTTATTAGCAGGCCGCTAGTCTTATGAATCAGGACATCACATGTATATAAATCAGATAGTAATTTTGCACTCTTAAAAAACAGTTTTCTATATTTTAAATAAGCCTGTCTTCTGTTGATTATCATTGTCTTATGATGATTTACGCAGGGATACAGAGGCACGCACAAGGGAATAGTTTCAGTTCATTTTAGACCAGTTTTAACAATACATGATATACAGAAAGTTATCTGACTCAGGACACGAACAAGACAGACCAAAAGAGAATAAAAGTTACGAACGACAGATCCAAGGTTTAGAGAGTACAACGAACTGGATGTCGGGGCATAAGACCGTCGAGATACGGCCCCCTCCGACAGGCTAGAGTGGATACGGGAAAGATCCAACTTAGATATAAGTATAGATACCGTATCTACGAGTACGAGGGGTATTGGGATTAAGCCGCTGCACGAGCCGCGCCACCAGCCAGAACCTCATTACACAAATACCTGGATGCACTAAGCCCGATCATGTTCGGCTACACAAACAGGGGGGGATTTTGATCCCACAAGTTAGAGACTCATCGCCGACCCCCATCATACATTTCACCATTATCCGGTGGTTGTGTTAGGTAGAGGTGTGGGGAAGGAGCATTAGAAGCCGAGGCACTGGAACTTTTAGAACGGAAAGAGGAACACTGATGTTCTCATTGGAAAAAGGGAAGCAAAAAAACGGATAACGCACTTGTCTCCTTAAAAGTAAAACTAGAGGTACGAGAGGGGTTTTTCTTTCCCAAATTACATTCCGCCAAAAACAACAAAGACACAGGAAAAACTACACATACACGACCTTTCATTCGCAATCAAAGAAGCTTATAACCAAACCATCAAATACTCCATACTCAGTATATAGATAGCTTCACTTTAGCGAGCTTTTTGAGCTTAAAAGCGTTTAACCTTTTGTAACTTCAATATAATAAGATTATTCTTTTCAAATGAAATATTTTGTATTTTCTAGCGACTTATATAGAGACAAAAGGAATATGATAACGGATCACACTTTACAGCGAAGACAGTCTACGAGCACACAAGGAAAGACGGCACAAAACTGATGCATGTATCAATGAGCCATCCGTCATCGGTAGGATTGTTAGAAAGATATGTAAGAGTAGTTTTGGAGGGCTTAAGAACCGCAATCCAAGGAGAAGATGACTTCATATACGCCTGGGACTTGTATTTACCAAATAACATCAAGTCAGCAAACCTCTGAGGGATCAGACTGCACGGCTTCTCAGCAGCAGAACTGATGTTCGGATTTGCACCCCGATACTTTGGGAACTCGAAATCAGTCGAAGATGAGATAAGAAATGAATAGCACTACTACAATACGGCTTATCCTCGCAACCTAAGTTCAACCCCAAGTCGCTCACAGCAGCCGACTTGGCAGAAACCAGATGAAGAAGAAAGTAGAAGACACCCTCGTCCGTTCGGTGGAACTAGAAAATCAAGCCAATAAGTTGATGAGGCGAGGAACTGATCAGGAGCCTGGTCTGGCAACACAGCAACTCAAGGGCGTAGAGAAACAGATGAGTCTGGAAATCGCAGCCAGGGAAAAGAAGATTCAATCCAGAGATCGTCGCATCAAGGACCTATAGGAGGAACTGGAGGCTTTCAAGAAAGAATACAACTGAAATGTAAGACGTGAGAGTGGAGTCGGAGTGCCACATGGAGACCAGAGGAAGAAAGTGAAACTGCATAATAGGAAAGTAGGTAGGATAAACCACTTCACGACACTCGCAGCAAGGAATGAGGGAAAGGCACCATCAGAACAAAGAAATCACGATCACAGAAGAAGCCCCTTCGAATGGAATGGGTGGGAAAACAATTAATCGACTTTTTCACCATAAGGATCTTGGTTTGACAACGCACTTTGCTCTGTACGACATCATAATCTTTATAACACATTGGGACGGGCGTTTATGCGATTTTATGGGAGAAAACAGCGAATTTAATGGGAAGTTGGAGGATATGAGGAGAACTGGAACTGATGGAGCGCGATATATATTAAATGAGGGCGTTGCGGTTTTGCGAGGAGACATAAATGGGTGGGAATGAGAGATAGTTTATAGCAGGCTGGCGTTGGGCAAGAGGAGCTATATTGAGGCTGGATGCATTGCGGTCTGTATAAAAATACAATAAGGCATTTGTAGGGAACTCTATATATATATAAACTAGGTAGGTAGCAGTCTTATCCCCTTCTAAAAGAGAGCATTCCACACTACGAATAAGCCCCCTGTTGACCAGCATTCTCTCACCGGTACTGGGTCTACCGTGTACGGAGGTACATTTGGATTTGGGGGTCTCCAGCTTGTACCCGCATCTTATAAGTGCCCAGGGTAAATTGACTCAGGATCCTAGAATTCTAATCATACTTGAGTAGTAATTACTATCTTTCTTTGAAACAGTTTCACAATGAAAGGCCGTAGAGTAGAGAAATACGAAGAATGATGGAACCATACTAGGTATGTCGAGTCACGTGTGTGCATATCTAACTAACCTTGTAACCGCCAGGGTCAATTTCTTCAGCGCTTACTTGCAGGAGCCTTCATGACTTCTACCATACAGGTAACGAGGCTTATCATCACATCAAACATGGGTCAACTATTATGGCAGCGGCTATGCATCTTGATTCCAGCGCCAGTATCATGCAGTCTCACAATCCGTACCTGGAGAATCGTGACGCCATGTGTATGGCCCATAAGCCGGCTGTTGGAAAGACTCTACTGGCTTTCGAGGCAGTATCGTGCGGGGTTGTTTTCGTTGTTGTGTGAGCGTATCGTTGATTTCTCTTGATGTAAACTTTCTACATCATTATTCTCTTTTTCCCCTTCTGTTTCTCGCGTGTTTCCTTGCTGTCGGATTCTTTTCTTGATTTCTCTTGTTTCCTTTCTCTATCAGTATCATCAGTGCCATGGCTTTCTATGAAGTTTCTCTTGAATTCTTATTATAATGATGTATGAGCCGCTAGACGACCCGAAAAGTGCCTTGTTTCCATCTTCGAGGTCAGTAGAATCTATTTATGGCTCTTTTATTTCCCATACATATGCCACCTGATTCGAGACCACGATCCGGGACTTTTATGTCCAACAGATTGAGTGACTCGGGGAACTATGATCTCAACCATTCGATGATCACAAGCCTCTTGAAGTTTTGGAGTGTTCAAAAGCATTTGGGAGATGTATATACACAAACGATGCTGACATCCCCATTCCTACAGTGTTTCCCAGAATGGCAATCTTACCATCGAGCCTCCTCCTACTCATATACGTATTCTCGACTTATGTTAATGCTGATTTCTCCTTACCATCTGAAGTAACGAGTTTCATTCCAGCGTGCGCTCAAATCTGCTTTGAGTCCTTTATACAAGACAACTATCCAACCAGTGTTTGTGGCGACACACCTACGTTAGACTGCATCTGCGAGAATGGCAGCAAGTCTACATATACGGTGGGAGAGGGGGCAGTCCAATGTATAATGTCAGAGGCTAGTGTTGGCTTCTGTAATGGAGATGATTCTTCTAGTGAGTAGTTATCGAGGTTGGCTTTGATAAATCTTGCTGATTTGTCTGGTAGATGATACGGTATTACAGGCATATGATATGTGTAACTCCGACCAGAGTGCGCTGCCAAACACACACAGCACTCTCACAGCAACTCTTGTTCTACAATCAGGCTCCGCAAGTATCGTACAGATTGCCCCAGTAGCTACGACAAGCGCTAGTGGTTCAGTAGCCACAACTTTGCACACAACTGCACCCACAGCTACTCCAAGTTCGACTACTAATTCAAAACCGTCGACTGGAGTACCACAACCGGCGGCTGCCACGAGTGTCTCTTCATCGCCGGAGAAGAGCAGACCGATGTTGTCGACAGCGCAAATAGCTGGAATTGTGGTAGCAGGGGTTGGTGGCATTGTGTTAGCAGTTGGAGCTATATTGTTGTTTGCCTGTATGAGACGGAAAAAGCAAGTGAACCGAGATAGCGGATACCTTCCATTTCAACAAGATCCTTCCATGAGCATCAAATCTCAATCGCATTTTGGTATAACGAAACCTATGGCGCCATCACCAGATTTCGTTTCATCCCGAGGACCAACACCAATAGGCCCATTTTTGGGAGCTCGAATGCCCCCAAGAATACCACCAAGAGGAGACCAGCCGAGCCCCGATCCTTTCTCTCAAAGGAATCCTATCCCAGAAAATATTGGCCTTGCCATGACCTCCGAAAGCCCCCAAAATTTTCTTTTAACTCCAATGGGTTACACCGAAGAAGTTTTCCAACGTGGGCCTTCTCCACTTTTACCCGAACGACCAACCCTCACCCTACAGGTTCCTTTCCAGACAAATTCCAACAATATCCACACTGCTGCCTATCAACAACCATCAAGCTTAGCGGGCAACAATCGGCAATCCATGGTTACACAATTTGAAGATGAAGATACATGCAGCACAGCTGTAGCATCTGATGTACCATGGAATGCAGCCTCCTATGGCTCCAAGTCTAACGAAAAGGTTCTACAACAGCCTGATCCCGCATACTACCAACCATCTCGTCTTCAAGGTGAACTTTCCCCAAATGTATCCGAAAGTATCATCAATTCCTACAAGGATCCTTCAGTAGAACCCGACTTCTACGTACGGCCCCTTAACCTCCAAAGGAACTTTTCACAACCTCGTCGACCCGAAAATGCAATGAAGCCTCCAGTCAGCCGCAATCTATCTATCAACGACCCTCTCACAGCATCTTCCTCTGTATACTCTGCAAAATCCCGCATGCGACGTCCCTCGTCAATCGAGGTAGATCGACTAAACTCCCTCATGCAATCTAATCCCTCATTCCGTCGCGTCCTTCGGAAGTCCGCCTACAATCCAGCGGGGCAATACGATCAAAACCGTACTTCCAGAGCCTCTGTAGGGTCCATGACATCTTTCGAAACCATCGACTCTATCAATCCCGAACCCCAAGAACTTGCTGGCGACACTAACCTCAGTCCTGTCGTCGAATCTCCCTCCGACAACCTTAAAAGTATCGGTAAATCTCCCGTCAAGTATCCTATAACTAAAGGCAACAGTAACCTAAGCCATCACCATTCCCGCAACCGCACCCACACATCAATAATAACCAATTTCCCCGCCCCACCACCCATATCCATCGAGTCCCCTATCTGTCATCCGGTTGCACAAAGTAACAAACCCTGGCAAGAAGCCGAGATCGCTGCTCAAAAATTGCGCATGACATCCCTCGGACTATCACCTGGTAAATATCTATCACCCGGCTCTCACAATTCCGCCATCACAATCCGCAAAAGCAGTGATTTCTTCAATCCCACAAATTTGGCTTTAAGGAGTCCTCCGCCTCCAATACCTCTACCCTTACCACCAAATCGACAGAGAGATATAAGCCCAATTGGCATGGGCGCCGGTGGGGGTAAAAGAAATGCACCACCTACCCCTTTAAGTCTAGCTTCTTCGCTCTCAAATACAAACCCGTCACAAAATAGTAAATGGAGAATTCTTCCCGACACCAACACTACCACCTCCCACAAGACAACCTTAAACCCCATCGCCGTAGCATCCCCGCACTGGCGTCCTCAAGTCCTCACCGGTATATTAAGAAAAGATAGCGTTCAATCTTTAAACAACAATACCACCCCCAACAACCAATCTCTAAACCCCACCACCATCCAAGACCCCGAAGCATCCTCAATATACAGCCAAGAAACCCGTAAATTTAACTTCGATCCAAGACTGACGCAAATGACTACCATGTCGGATATGCGGGCTCAGGGTCAGATGGCAGATCCCGAGGATTTCAATGCCAATGCCAGTTCCAATCAAGATATAAATCCAAATTTTAATCCCAATACCAATACAAACAGCAAGCCAGTAGTCTACACCAAAACCAATGGATCCGGTCAAGTCATCACCATCAATACCAATGGGGATCATCCCAGCGCATTACCCAAAACTCCAGGCTGGGTACCGAAACTCACACCTACGAGAAGGGGTAATGATTTATTTCTAAAGGTGCAATAGATATTGAGACTCAGACTGGGGTTAATGGAGGAAGAGCAGGAAGGAAGTGGTTTTATTCTTCTGGATATATTAGTTCATCTTCGTGTCGTTTTTTTCTTTTTCGTTTTTTTCTCTCTTTCATTTGTGTGATGATATGATACCTGTATGATTATGCTGAACGGTCCCTTTTGTTGGACTGGATTGGATTGGGTTGGGTTGGGTCATTCCTTTTAAAATGTGCATCTTACGCTCTCTTATCTCTTTTGTTGATGAAAATACCCCAAGTCTGGAAGGAATGAATGGAAGATATGGAGTTCAATTATGCATTGGAGGAGTTTTCAATGGTACAGCACAGGTTAGGTCGGGGCGTTCAATTTTTGTCATTACAATGTACTCGTACTTGTATAGCAGGTTTCAGGGATCTTATCATAGAGCATGCATTGGAATGGGAAGTCAAGTCAAGTCAAGTCAAAGTTATGGGACGATATAAGTTGGGTATACTTACTGTATTAGTAGCTACAAAATGAAAGTTTAGCATTCAACATATGTTCGAACTCCAACGACGACTCCATGCGAAAACATGAAGTAAAGAGAAACAAAAGGGAGAAATGATGAGCAACAAAATGGCCTGAACTCCGACAATGACCTCGTGGGGTATACGCACAAATATAAACACTAACATCAAGTGAAATCAGCCAACACTAGTGTATCTCCACAGATGCCTTTACCTTCCGTGGGTACCTTATGGCTCCGTAGAATCTAGTACATTCTTTATCCCAACGCCCGAGCTGTGCATTTCGACAAAGACACTAACATTCCTTACACAACAACAAGCTAACATCAGTCCTTGAATCGAGTGCCCCTACTTTGTGAAGAAAGTGATAGAGGGTATTAACAAATGGTCTGAGAGATAAATCTAATCTTGCCAGTGTGTTGGTATTACTGGCTCGAAAGTCTACCTCTCCAAACATGTTGTTAGCCTATCTATTCAATATTGTTTTCATCCGCTCGAAGATATGCTTACATTGTATTCTGAGTAGAAGGGGTCATCGGCGAAGAAGGATTCATCCACAACACTTGGGATCGGTTTTGGTGCCTCGCCTATACCTTGGGGTTAGCAGGATAATGCAAATGATGCGGTGGGAACTGGTGACTTACTTGAGGAGGATGCGCGACGAAGCTCTTGGATCTTTGTTTGAAGAATTGCTGTGCTAATTGTAGTCTTCGGAGGGGACACGGGAAGACGAGATTCAACCTGTATATATAAATCTTCGGGTGATGTTTCTGGCAGAGGCACTGGGGAAGAATTGAGAAGACTTTGTCTCGATGGATGCATGCCCTGAAATGGAGCAGATACGAGAAACTTGACTCGTGACTGCAGATCTTGTATTGAAGCAGGCATGGTTGCCGTGGAGGAAGTGCCTGAATGCTGGGGAGATGCTTTGATTAAGGTGGAAGGAATGGTAACTTCTTTTTTGGCCTCCACTGTAATACCTACCTTGGGTTTGGCGGGAGATATATTCTTGCGATTATAAATTAGGGAGGATATTTGACGTTGAAGATCTAGACCTTCCTCTTGTCGTAGTTTTGTTCTCGCACTCAACGAGGATCTCGCATCTCTAGTAGGGATAACGGGAGGCATGTTTACCGCCGGTGTTCGCTCTTTGGAAGGAGTTGATGGTTCGAAACGTGTTGGTGATTCAAAGGGGTGTGGTTCTTCAACAGAGGTAGTGACAGGAATCTGAGCCGAAGTGATTGCATTAGCTGCTGCGATACTCATTATCTCTCTATGCTTGCGACCGGCAATCTCTACCCATGATTCTTCGATTGGACTTGGTGAATTGAGAAGATTAGAAGCAGCAATTGCCAATTCTCTATGTTTGCGACTGGCAATTTCGGCCCATGTTTCTGTAACTGGTGTCTTCAAAGAGTTAGAAGCAGGAACTACTAGTCCTATGTATAAAGGAGTGGATAAGAAGCTACCTCTTTGTCATCTAAAGATTCTCCAGGATTATAACTCGATACAAGGGAAAGAGCTTGGCCTTTGGTCTCAGAGGACCTGCTTATACTCCGAACGGTATAAGATGGCCGATAATAATCACTATTCGAAACGCCTCTATCACGAGGAGTAGCCCCATCATGATAAGATCGAGACTCGTAGGATCCGGAGCTTGAATCTTTGCGAGGCGACACAGAGCGGACGAATCGGCGTGATCGACGGGAGCTACAAGGGCTTCTAGAGCGCGGGCGATAGTGACTGGAACGCCGAGGACTTTTGGAACTGGAGCGGGCGCGGCGAGAAGTTTGTTTGGAACGATGTCGGGAGCGAGAGCGAGGAAGGTCCTCAAATTCCTCCTCCTGCCATAGTGATCTAGATTTATGAGTAGGACCTTTAACACGAGAACCGAGAGGCTCCATATTTGCGTTGAGATCTGCAGTTTTCCTTGATCTACCCATGTTAATCTCAGTGGTTAGTCTTCTGCCAAACGTAGAACAGTTGTTAATGGGTAGAGTTTTAGTGAAGTTGCAGAAAGTAACTTGATGCTAGCACTGTCTTGTATTTCCTGGAAAAACAAAGTCAATATGATATATCTTCAAACGTTCTCAGATATGAGAGAATGTATCTCTCCTTTTGATAAATTAGAAAAAGTTGTGTAATTATTGTGTTTATTTGTTTATTTGTGTGAACTTTGTGTGGGAGTATTTTTGAAGTACTTACCTACTCTGTAAGTAAATACCGGAAGAACTTCGGGCATGGACAAATGACAAACTTCCTGAAAGGGGAAGATGTCTTTTGGCGGTGGCAGAATCAGTGGCCTATTTGAGAATCACCTACTGACTTGGAACTTTAAGGAACCAGATTGTATCCAGTTCAACATCTCCAACATCTCCATCATCCCTTCAAGATTCCAGAATTTTGAACCTGTCAAAGAAGTTCGCCTATTGTCATTAGTCCTTCCTCAACAAGATCCAGTACCGGTATTTGCCTCGTTTACCTGCCTATAGGGGGAAGTTCCAAAGAGCCTCAACCAATAAGAAATGATGAAATCTGACATAATATCATGGCTGAATACTTGTATATCTCACTTCGCCAATCAACGGTTACGGTAGCGACTTGCATGAATTGTCACATATTCATCCTTCCAGCCTTATAGATTTAGGAAAAATTTCGCAAACACCGACAGCAGCTAAGCTCGCAAACCATCTAAGTTGGCCATATATTTCTGAAACTTCGTTCATTATGTATGGCTACCTGTTGAATCGATCGGAAATTTGGTATTTCTGGATTGTTTAAATTTGTTTTCCATCATGATTTCTTTCGGCCCCTTGATGCTGCCTCAACTGCCCCCAATGATACTCAGGGATATCAAGGATACAAGGCTAGTCTTCAAACAAAATCTCCATTTAGTATCATCACCATCTTCTGGGGTCCTTAGGATCTTCCTGTTTTGCTCTCCGAGGATGGGTTATCTCTGTGGTTGTCCAATGCTGCCTTTCCGTTGGCGTTTCTACTGCTACTCGGGCATGTCTGACCTGCATATGTCCCTCGTAAATGTCCTCACAAGCCTCATAAGTATGCTTAAAAACAGATCGTTTTATGCGACGATTGCGTATCTCTCATTTCCTGTGATTACAGGCGGCCTATGGTAGTACCGGCTTTGCACTGGCTTGAGGTTTGGACATCCCACAAACCCCTTGGTTTTGATCGAGCCAGTGGTCATGATCCATTGGTACTCCGGAACTATTTTTTGAGATACCGCAAGATGGCGTTTACCAATCGATACCTTTACGGACCTGCATCTAGTGATCAATTCAGCCGGAGTCTGTGCACTCCTTCATCCTCAGCGAATCTTTACCACTGCTGGGCCACACCATTTTCAAAACGTGGGGGCCCACCATACCACTGAAGGTTGGGCAACACTATGGCATCCAGCTCCTCATAGCCGGTTCTTTCCTGGTTTAGTATTTGCCGACATGCAGATGAGTGACCAGGAATCAAGATCTCTGGAAATTTTTAAAGAGATCCTGTCACCAGATATACAATAAATCGCAGTTCGTGCCGAAAACAAAACAACCGCGACCGCATCCGCAGTAATGTCCACCTTATTATCTAGTCTCTCCAGCTGCTTTTTTTTTATGTCAAATTTCCCATATTTCGCTGGCTACTCTGGGCTCTGTCCGTAGTGGAGAAGGCGTCTCACCACCCGCATACTCTTGGAAGCGGCACCGAAAAGTCTCGGGACAATCTATTGCGGAAGAAGACTCCTTTCAGACTTGAAATTGACTAGTCACACTTCACGGTCGCGTCCGTTCCTGGGCACGGCTGACTCAACCAAGATCCCGGGCTGCCAACTCTCTCCCTGCATCATTCTAGTGGTCAACTTACATTGTCCTGCTCCCATCCTATCACAGATCCGTAGCAAATGGTTATTAAACCCACTCTACAAATTTAGGGTAGATTTAGCATCGTCCCCTATTTTTCACAGGTCTATCTATCCACTTATATTACAAAAATACTTTGACTCATGAAGCAACTGGTTGCCTCCTCAGTCTCGATTGCTATTTGCTTCCTTTGGCTGTAGGATTGCCAGGCCTAATCTTTTGCGCTACTTCTAATAGACTTGAGAGATTAGAATCCTGCTGCATTCTTGGTTCATGTTCTTTAAAGACGCAAACATGGTAACAATCAACAATGAGATAGCAAACAACATGATGCGGATTGCGATAGCAGGCTCAGGTGGTATGGCCCAGATTCTCGCCCATCAAATAAACGAGACAGTACATCCATTCATCATATTGTCAAGACAGGTCAGTGAATTTGAGCACTTGGCCCTTTTCCCGAAATCTGACCATACTTTTAGGCTCGACCGGATCTAGAGGTACACGGCTATCAAGTAATTGTAGTCAACTACGATAATCAGGATGATCTTCGTTTTCATCTTCGGGGGATAGATCTCGTCATTTCAACAGTATCTGGGAACCCTCAGATTAACCTTATTGATGCTGCCGCAAATTCCCATGTCCAACGCTTCGTCCCCGCAGAATACCAAGATAAATTAGGGGGGCGGCCAACGAATGACCCCTTGGATCGCGGAAGGGCAGCGAGTATTGAAAGACTTCGACATTGGGCTCATCACGCCCGTCATCGGATGCAATATACGGTATTTAGTTGTGGAGTACTTTACGAACGGTTCGCCCGAGGAGGCTTAGCTTCAATGGATATCGGCACTTCAACTGCACTCGGCTATCAAGGCTCCTATCTGATGAATATGGAGAACAACACTGCAGAAATCGTAGAACATAGTTCGTCGGGGCAGCCCATCTCAGTGTCCATGACATCTGCAAATGATGTGGCAAGGTTCATCACAGCAGCTCTTGATTTGGATCAACGAAGATGGCCTATAGAATTTAGAATGCAGGGAGATCGAAAAACTGTGACAGAGATTGTGCAGTATGCTGAGGTTGTCAAAGAAAGTCAGTGCCCATCTTCGAATATGACGAAACGTCTAAAGTAATGCCAATACTAATGAAATTAACAGGGCAATTCTCCACAACATTACTTGCAGCTTCAGCACTACCGGCAAATCTCCAGGAAGCAGCGTATTACCAGGATCATGCTAAAGCTGGTCGCATGCAGGAACTGATGGCCACTGAGCAGAGGAGATACGACTTTTCGCAGGTCAACTTGAACCCTTTAGTCGACTTCCAACCAATTTCGTTTTGGGAGTGGCTAAGCGCTCACTGGGCGCCTGTATGGATGTACCAATAGATGCAGTACATTCAAAAACAGGTAGAGGAATTTCTCTCGCAAGAAAGCGATGTTATTGATACGCACCAGGTTATATGAAAAAAAAACTCTCTTCTTTTGTCATCTTCTCTTCTGATGTGGTATTTTAGACATCGTTTTACGCTTATAGACTTTGGCTTTCGAATACAATATATATTGTCGTCTTTTATTCCAGCCATGCAATGTTTGACTTCTTTATGACAACATTGAGAGTGAAATGTATTGTACGGAAGGGAAATTCTCGAAGAACGGTTGCTTTCTACTGATACCCTGCCGATGATCAAGTACAGCTCGATGATCTATCTTGTATTACTACGGTAGGCTAGTTACACGTACAGTATTGACTGGACATCAATGCCATTATGGCGAAAATGATCCAACGTTCTGTTTGTGCATTGGAAGCGTTGGCCTCGGAATTTGATATCGAGAGTTGAAATCACAGGAAGAAAGATCGCAAGACTTTATCAAAGAAGCATTGCATGTTCTTATTGATGAACGACAACTAAGGTTTGAGGATGGATAGTAAAAAGTCTGGAGAGTCTGAAAGCAGACTTGTGCTTCCAGGGAAAGAAATCATTGGATATAAAAGTTTGATCTTTTTTGTAGCAATAAAGAGTAAAAACACCGTATTTCAATACCCATATAATGATAGTAGTACGATCTTATAAACTGATAAGCTTCCTCTGACAATTTCCAAGAGAAATTCCACCAGATTTTTAAAATCATTTCAATCTTGAACTTTCTTTGGCGATGACAATTGTCGATATCACATGATCTACTCCACCCGGCGCTAGCGAAATGTAAACATTGAGCCAGATACCGAGGCCTGCAACTGTAAATCTCGTTAATATAATTGCACTATATAGAATATTCAAGAATCTTTTTATTATTAATATAATATCAATCGATATCTGAAACTTATAAAAGTAGTACTATTGATTAATTAGACTAAGAGTTATCAATTGAAATTATTTATATGAAATTCTACAGTGTTATTAATAATCTATATTAATTTTAAAATAATATTTTAAGATTTTTGATTAAGATAAGATATTATAGACTATAGTTTATTCGTATATTATTATCGGAATATTTAAACTCTAATGAAATCTAATCCTCAACCCTTTTTATTATTTATATAATATCAATCGATATCTGAAACGTTTAAAAGTAATACTATTGATTGATTAAACCTGTCGATATATTATATATATATTATATACGTTACTTAAACAATATATATAATAGGCCTAT